GTGTGACATCCTTCAGGTGAGTCACTCTGTCACTTTGTGGGTCCACATCATTACTTACTTGTTTCATTGAACAATGCCCAATTCGTGCTCTACCCTCTGCCCTACTTGCGGCACCTATGCTCACTCCCCATGTCTCCCCTGCCCACCACCGCCTCTCACCATTTTCCTGCGGGGCAGACTCCCTGAATGTTCTTGCGGATGCATCGCTGCTGCAATGTGTTTGCCTCGCCTCCCTCTTGTCACCGTTTTCCCGCTGTTTGCACCGCCATTCCAACTCGTCTACTCCAGATCTTCAATGATGCTACTCAGTACTTCTTGCGTGAAGGTGAGGACACACCCACCCTCACCAATGTCATACCATCAATGGATATCATCGACAAGAAGCCTGCAACCAATGCAATAAACATTGAGCTCGATCCTGCCTAGGGATGTAGAATTAATGAAGGCCAGTGCAATAGAGGATATTGGAACACATTCATCACAATACGGTAGGCTACTGACTCATTGCTTTTGTTGTAGTAGTGATTGATGGTCTTCTTGGCAAACCCAATGGCTACGCAGAGGTTCTTGACCCTTGTTACAAGCTCTGGTACTTTGCCGACAACGGGCAGCTCTCATTGTGGATCGATGATGCGCAGTTTGCTCTACAGCGGGCATATGACAAGGATTGGAAGGGCCGATCATCAGGCATGCTGGCGCACAATGCTGATCCAACGGTACATGCTTATGTTTTTGTTATTTGAGTCCTCCCTACTGACAATCACACCTGTCATGTCCAAAGACCTCTCTACTCCTGTTTGTGCGGGCAAGGCTGCAGCTCCAGCGCAGAAGGTCAACATTTTTGACGCCGCCCGAGCAAAACGCAAGCTGGCTGCCATGCCAACAGTGGCCGATGAGTTGGACCACTACCTTGCTGCGGAACCCGACCCAACAATCGACAACGCACTCAAGTGGTGGACCTCATGCGAGTCGTGTGTGTTGTATCCGACGCTCTCGTGCATGGCGTGCTGCTACCTTACAATTCCTCGTGAGGATGCTATTAGTCACCATCTGCCATTCTTGTGATGTACTAACCAATGCTTACAGCTACCTCAGTTGGCGTTGAGCGGCTGTTTAGCAAGGACTGTATCATTGTCACCCATCCACAAAAGGGCCTGTCAGCCATGTCAATCTGCACGTTGATGTGTCTCAACAACTGGAGTCCCCTCGGACTTGTGAAGGACACTGACGTGCTCAATGTCACCATGGAAGACCCTTTGAAGGATACTGCCGGGGATCCAGAGGCAGTGTGGGGCAATGATGCCTGCGACCATCTATAGTCACATAGCCACTGTATTTACAATGTCTGTATATCCTGTAACAAGACTCTTGATCCTCACGCAAAACCCGTGTGATGGCCTATACCCACAAAAACCCGCAAGACCCCTGTACCCGCCGGGCGGGTAGCTGACCCCTGCGGGTACAGGTATGGGTAGGCCCCCGTGCACCCGGTGGTCTACCTGTGCAATTCACTACTACTAACATGTTGACCTTTGTGGCATCTCAATCAACTAAAATCAGCAAGTAGATCATCATTCACTAGTATCAGGATCATACTACTGATCAACATAAAAAGAATAACTAATAGAATATACTAACATCCACAGCAATAAAGACAACACTGTCTTCAACTTGGAGGTTAAGATCAACAGTATGATAAACAGTAATGGGCCAATTTGAGGTCTCATTTTAGTGCTCTTTCCGCTTGGCTGGACTTGTGAGCTGTCAGGAACTATGAAGGGCGGGAACCAGGTATCAGAACATTTTAGACTGATGCTTCAGCAGAAGACACTCACCTTGCAATGTTGAAGACAGTGGTCCAGAAGGTGTGACGGTCTCCGTTTCTGTGAGTTCTACAAAGATATATAGAGGTTCAAGTGTATTCAGAGCATTTGAAGCAATAAACTCTACCATGTTGCAGTTGCATTAATAGTGACTGCATATTGGGACTCAAAGTTGACGTTGGAACAGACACCAGGATCTCGGTTAGTTCCCTAATCTTGGCAATATTCAACTGCATTCCTGTCTGTTCATGGTGCTAGTCAGATATGTCAATATCAGTGCCATGGTAGGCAGGCCTACCTTCCTGATTGAGTAAAGATTGAAGAGTGTGGAAGTTGGGATTTGAACACCCCAGTGGAACGCAGGCCTTGAAGGTGAAAGGCCTGAACCGCGCTGCAGGCCAGCATGGCACTTGCTCTAGGAGGGTAGGTGTAACGCTTGCACGACCGGTTAAGGCAAGTGGTGGCGCAACGGGTCAGAGCGTGCAATGGGCTGGACAGTTAATTGGACTGGATTGGTCTCCAAAGGCTTGCTACCCCTTTGTAGTCTACTCAGTATGTCTTATATACATACATAAATGAGTGTGAAGTTTTCAAGCACGCAATCTGTGCGTAAGGATCATGTGCTACATGGTCTGGAATCGGAGGGGAGTTTAGGATGCAACACTTTAGGAAGGTGGACGGAAAAGGAAAGTGTGGCGGTCCCCAAACTGGGCTGCTACATATGCCCTCCAGTGCCTGCGCAATTGTAGGTGCTACTCTGGCCAGCCTAGTCCTTCTTTGACTTAGACTTCCTCCCCGCCTCCTTCGTCTTCCTGCAGTTCTCGCGCTCATCTTCTTCATAGTCCTGGATCAAGTCTGGATCAAACTCGTTCTCGGCATCCTTCATTGTCACATTGTTATCCCCGGTGGCCTCCTTCTTGGCAACGGTCTGCAATGTCTTCCTCAACGTCACGCCCCTTGGCAAGTTACCACCGGCAAGCAACACGGACGAGGATGAGGCCTGCGGCAACGGAGGCGGATCAAGCTGGGAAGACGGAGGAGTCTCAACATCGGAAGTATGGACTGGGGCCAGCGGCGCGGTGCTCTTGGAGCGGGACATAGACAATCCCGCAATGGCTTTTGGTGTGTCATGTTTCTTCGTGATCCCCCTGTCCACCACTGTCTTGCGCCCTCCAGGTCGTCCTCCACCCAGGCGACCGCCCGAGCTGCCTGTGGCACCAAATAGGCTGCCGAGGCTGACCTTCTCGTGGCTACATCAGGAAAAACGCTCGGGAGCGCTGACAGGTTGGCGGTCATACCAACACTATTTAATCATGTTCAATATGTTGAGACCTAATTGCAATGTACACAAGTTAACCTAACCAATTGGATTCAATCTACTTATCTTCAAACACATTGGATTGGCTTGTGCATCGCCATAACTCTTGCAAGAGGCACTACTGCTCCCTAGAGAGTGCAAGCTTGCTCTTGGCTATGTAGCTGCCGTTGTAGCTCAGAATCCTTAGTCAAGCCTATATGCTGTGGTGCGTATGTCCCTCCGCTAGTACGCACATATGCATGGTGCATGATGCTGCATTTGGAAATCTCCGACTCGTCGGGTATAGTACCGTGAATGCACACTTGGATGGTCATGAGCAAGTCACTGGCAGTTCATCATTGTCCATGACACGCGCGTTGGGTACTTACTACCTACTACATGTTATTGTTGCATATAATAAGGCAAGCTAGAGAGAGTGCGTTTGGGGGCTAGATACAACTTGAACGTTACAACGTATTATACATTTGAAGGTTCTGGTGCTAAAAGTCCAAGTCGGCCTCAGCCTCGTCATCACCGTCAGTGTCCACGCCCGCCGCATCCGAGTCCATATCGCTATCAAGATCCCGCTCCTTGCGCCCGCGACCCAACATTCGAAGGTCCTCCGGCACCGCAGGTACAACGATGGCTCCCGGCTCATGCAGAAGCGGTCGGACAGCGCACGTACCAAGGGGCGCCCCGAGGTTTCTGACCCTCCAGCTTGCTTGCATGACTTGGCGTTGGGCTCGCGACCCCACTGGCCAAGTCCAGGATGCGTCGATGAAGTCGAACTTCATCGAACACATGGGCACTGCGAAAGCTCTCTGGCCCGTGGCGTAGGCATGCGCGAAGGAGGTTAGGGTCACCACGGACCGCTTGATGACGGGCACGGACTGCAGAGGCAGCGCGAGGCGAAGAGGGAACACGGGGCGGAGAGAGCGCGGTACGAATGTTTCGGCCGTAGGATCGTAGACGTCGAGGGTAAAGTGAGGATTTTCGGGTGATGGAGCGTACCCAACGGCTCCGATGTACCTGTTGAGCGTGCGCACGGCCTGGTGGAGGAGCGGCTGCTCCGCCCCGTGGCCGTTGATGACAATGGCCTCGCCATTGGGATCGATCTCCCCCAGGAGGGGGATCGACACGGGGCCGTAGCCGTCCTAGGGCCAGAAAACGGCATTAGTCACCCAGATGAGCATCGAAAGTGATACAGTACTCACCTGTACGTACACCAAGCCTTCTACAATCGCGGTGCGTCCTTGCGCAGCCGGGCTATCCTCCAGGGACCTATTGAGGAGGGTTTTCAGAGACGGCGGCGGGCTCTTGTAGAAGGCCGGCACGGTGGACATGCAGATCCACCCGCCAAACTTTGCGGGTGGGTTGCGGAGCTTCGCTGCCTGCGCACGCGCCTCCCCGAGGGTCTCCATCGTGGGTTGGATTCGACTGCGCTGCACCGGGCAGCCAGTCAAATCATAAGCTAGGCACTTCACACGATCTGAGCAATCAAACAATCCTTGACGGAGGGAGCAACTCACATATTCAAAGATCTCTCCATAGCGGCCTCGCTCGAAGCAAACGACGGCGACATGGCGGAGCTCGCCGCACAGCTTGCATATCCCGGACAGCTTCGCAATGTCCTCGTAGCGGGCTGAGCTGACCACCGCCAAGATATCGATGAGACGCTTGTCTACGGCAGACATTGAGGCAGCAGCGGAGAGCAGATGTGTGTTGTGGAGGGTTGAGGGACGTGTGGAGAGTTGAGGGACGCGGATGCAGGCTGTTAGGAGCCGTTTGGATGTGTTTGATCACTCTCCCACCCCAAGCGCCGAGTTGGTCCGGAACCTACGATTTGGGCGGAGCGCGCAAACACAAAGATATACAGTACTCTACCAAAGTGTTTGGTATGCATATAAGCCAGTCCAATTATTTACATGGAATCGACTGGCTGTCTCTAACACCGTATTGGAGGACCAGTCATCCGGTACAGTGCCCAATGGTCCATCCGGGAAGCACGGCGCAAGTTGGCACGATTGACGTATTTGAGTTAACGGTATGATTTTTCCTTGCGGAAGTCCCTTCGACGTCAAAGGGGGTTTACTGACGGTATACATCAAATGTGTAGGATCGGGGCTTGATGCAAAACGTGAGTACCACTCGACGTACGCGAGAGGACCGCTGGGCCACCACGACGGGGCAGTTTGGCCCCTAAATCGCTCGGACAGAGTCTTTGGGAGGGCAAAAATGATCTTGACCCTTGCAGCCCTGGTACCTATGCCGTAGGTTTAATGGCTCGTCCAATCAAATACAAATCCATCACTTACCTATCACGCCGGTGGACTCCGCGTCGCCCTTGTCAAGAACAATAACCGTTGTGGGCATGGCCCACGGTCTACGCACGGAATCGACAACATACGAACGCGTCAGGGCGAGAAATGGGACGGCAATACGGCGCAAGGCATCTCCGAGAAGTACGGACTTGGGGAACACAACACGAACGGGCCAAATACATTCCAACTAAGCCAAGCACACGGTTACAGAAGGTGCTACGGACGACTACATGGGGTCAGTTGAGCGAAGGGCTTGCGTTACGAACGTTCCCTCCGTCCCCGTTCCTTCCGGACCCTCCAGCCTCTCGGTCAGCAGCAGCATCAGCAACGCTACGCGTGAAGCCCATGGGGCGTGGATTAAGAGCCACCGAACCCCTAGACGTGGCGAAGACTAAACGACGAGGAATTCCGGAATAATCGTCCGGAAGGTACAGCCCGTGTGACAGCTGGTCTTGAATACCTTGGACCGCGGCGGAGAGCGTGGCTAGCCCACCATCGAGCTGGTCAAGGGCGTCGGTGGTCGAACACTGAGCATCACTAAGAGCTTCCAGCTGGTCAGTGACGACGTCCCATCCGACGGAAGAAGCGCGCTGGTTCGATAAAGCGAGCGGACTGTTGCGATAGGAAATGGCCGGGAGTGGAGCACCTTCCTCAGCAATGCTCTGCTCGGCGAGGACGCGGTTAGGTGACCAGGCGATGACGGGGTATGGCTCGGGAAGAGACGACGCATGCTCGGAAGGAAGGGTTGCGAAGATGGTGTCGAGGTACACTATCAGGGCGTGCACGGATGGTGTCTGGCGGACGGAAGGGAGAGAGATATCCCCGGAGGCTACGGCGATGCTACGAGACTCAAACAGCATGCGCTGGAGTACAGTCAGCGTGGGAGACGACGAGCCCTAGGAAAAGGGCACACCAATAGCCAACGGCTTCCATGGGCCCAGGCCAGCCAGGCAGTCGGATTGTGGGGGAGGAGACGGGGTTCCAGGTCGCGTTCGTGTCGAAGGAGCTCGAGGAGACGGTAGAAGCGGACGACGTGGGGGGATTGCCCAGGGAGTGACATGGTGGGCGGAGACGGTGAGGGAAGGAGGCTGGGGCTTCACTGACCAACCGGAAGGAAGGGGGAGTAGGGGAGAGAACGGGGAGAGTCGGGAAGGTTTGAGGGCGTGGGAAGTTGGGAAGGGAAGGACATGGCGTGCTGGCGCGAGGGGGGGGGAACTTACTTACCACCACCACTTCGAGAGCGGACGGTTAGAGGCAACTCCTGCGAACCAGGACAGCTCTGTTTTCTTAGCGGCGTATAAACCTCTCTCTCTCTCTCTTGCAGATCTGCGGCGACAGCGGCGAGCGTGCGTACAGCGAACTCTGCGTATTTGCGTGTCTTTGCGGGAACAGCGGTTCCATTGTTCAGCGGAACGAACATCGGGCAGCATAGCCTAACCACTTCTCTTCCCCCTTCCTTCCGTGACTGCTAATAGTTACGTCGACATTGTCCGACAACGAAACCCGTCGTTTCTACCGACTATTGACCCCTGCTCCCTGCCACCTCATACGGCCCTGGGAGACTCGCAACCTACACACCGTGTCGAAACGAGCCTTCTGATGCTTTGTGGGACGTGCTGGGATTACCTTTACGGCGTCCAGCTCTTCTCTTCCATCTGAAAGCTCGATTGGTTTGAATTTGAATTGGTGGTAAACGTCGACCCTTTCAAAAGGGAGGAACATTTGCGCCAGATCCGCTCGACCGAGACGTAGTTCCGGAGGCTGGATGTTGTTGATAAACTGGACCAACGCAGCGGTGAATCCAGGGGCACCGTGTTTGTCCTGAATCCGACCGACATGCTGGTGAGGGCTGGGTGCGTATTTTTCTATCTTGACAGAGGTACCTGCATCCGCGGCGGGCGAAATTCCACCCGGACATGGGTTCTCCGTGCTCGCCTCCTCCGAGTCTGCATCCGCCGTGTCAACCTCCACATCCTCCTCCTCCTCCAGCTCCTCCTCAACCTGACGTTCCTTCTGGAACACCTCGTACAACATCATCTTCTCCTGATGCGTATTACAACGCATCATCTGCGGAAACTCGTCGCGATGATTCGTGGCTCGCCAGGCATCTTTAGCGAGGTCAATATGAAGTCTTTCGAACATCTCCGTGTTGTAGTTGTCGGTTGTTCCAAAGAGGCGAATGGATTCCACGTAGTGCAGGAGAGAATGAAACTTTGGTTTGTTGAGGTGGTCTCGTATGCCGAGTTTCACCAAGACGTCCTTGTGTTCGTGAAACGTCTTCAAAGCATTGGCTAGATATTTGAGAGTGTTGTTGTCGTGGGTAGGGTACTGGGCAAGGTATATGAAGTCCAGGAGAGATCGGAAGCAGAGCACCACGCGCTTTGGTACCTTGCCAACAAGACATGCAAGGAGGATACGAGCCATGCCTTTACGCTCGGACCCGGTGATCTGCGCAAGGTTCGATATGCTGTTCTTGAAGTGCCGGACGCCGAACGCGGGAGGCATGGACCTGATTCGCCTATCCAGCTCCTTTTCACCAAGTAGCTCTTGGCACCAGGAAACGAGGTGCTTGAAGACACCCTGGTAGAGCTGATGAAGAACGTCGGGAGTGATAGAGAGGTGAATATCGGTGTAGGGCAAATCGGCCCAGAAAGGCGTGGTTGCCCCACCGACAACATTATGCGCTTTATGAAAAGCCTCGCGAGCTGCTTCACTGAGATCGGCTTGTTCCGCTGCCTGCCTGAGGATGCTCTCTGTGGCCTCGGATGTTCGAGGTTCAGCGGCGACGGGCTCCTGCAGCTTGTCGCTGGGACAATTGCATTTGGGACACGTTCCGTACTTCGAGCAAGTCACCAGACATTGCTCGGGATAGTCTGCAACATACGCCGCCAGAATAGGATGAACGCGTCGCACGGAACCATCGCCTCCGGTGACCTTGATACCATTCACTCCAGCATGCTGAAGGGGCTTGAGAATCAATCTCATGGCCTCATGGAACAGGCGGTGAGAATGGGCCTTCCGTTCGCATTTAGTGATCTTTTCACCATCGACTTTAGACACTGGGAGATAACCAAGAAGGATGCATGCGTGCATGGATGGTTTACGTCGAATAGCCCTCGGAATGTTGCCTAGTGTAAGATACACCGGATATGCCTGTTTATTGCCAGAGAACTGGGTTAGTTGCGTCTTGTCCGTGGAAATGATCACAGGTGCAACCGCGGCTCCTTCCGGTAGCAAAGTCTACGAAGGCATAGGGATTGAGAGCCTATCAGCAATGGATCTGTGATGAGACAAGGTGCGGACTCACCTGTACGGACTTCCACCATATTCCGGTCCACATCTCCGTAAAGATTCTCTTAGTCTTTGTGCTGTCCGTAAACGCGCGCCGCGGCCGGTAAACGATATCCTTAGCGTACGCTGGATTTCCCAGAAGGGCTTTGATAGCCTCTATAATGTCCCGATAACGCACGAGGTGGACGTCATCGGGATGGTCTGGGAAAGCTAATGAAGAGGTTTTCCAAGAAGCTCGCTCCGGAATATCGTCGACTTTGAGGTAAAGCTGGCGGATGTCTTTGTATGAAAGCCCAAGCTTCTCAACAACCTGCGTGCCGCATATCAGATTCAAGCGGGCTTAAATAGTAGTATGAGACAGATACGTACTCCTGGGATGGACAGAAATCTATTCATTGAATTCTGTCCAACGTCCTCTCTCACAATCCACATGGCCACCCTCCAGTCCAGCTCCGATGTGAAAGGTCTCCAAACGTCCTCCCCTCGGCCCTCTGCCTCATCCTCATCAGGAAAAAACATTCTGTCTTAAGTGGTCTTGTGGAGAGCAATAAGTGTCATCAAGTGTCATTATGTGCCACAAGTGCTTGAGGTAAGTCGATTTCTTCATTTGTCTTAATTAAGTTCAAACAAGTAACCAAAGTAAACACTCATTCCAAGCAAGAATAATGTTTTTTCATCCTTACTGGGGTAACTTCTCTCATGATTCTGCTGTGTTTGTGCATATGCTGTCATAACAGGCATCCCAGATGCAAAAATGTTGCCCAAAATAATCTGCCATTTCCCAGAATTGAACCCCTGACCTGCTACACTAATTTCTCACACTCTCAGCACAAACTTCTGACCACTACACCATAGGTCCCTGTGCTTGTGCCCTTGCACAATAACCTATATTGACTATCTTTCTGGACTTAGAGAAATCTGCAATTGCTGCCCCCTGTTAGCCCAGCCCCTGTGCATCCCTGGGCTCTCAGACTGGCCTCATTTCTTCTTGGCACTATCTGTTGCCTTGCAGACCTTGTGTAGACTTACAATTTGCTCAAGGCCAGGCTTCTTGTCTCACTTTGTATGCTTAAATGTTCTTTTTCTGTCTTTCACCCTTAACAGGCCAAATATGTCCAAATCCTTGACAATATGACTTTGACCACATTGAGCAATCTGACATCTCATCATGCATATTTATTAGTTAAGAGGTCATTTGCCAACTAATGTGTACTTATGCATCTTAATCTGTAGTACTGAAGTTGCATATCCTCCAACTTGGGGACAAGACAGATTTCTCAAAGGTGCTATAGTTCACTTCAGCGGTCTTCATGCACATAGTGCACTTAATTGAGGAACACAAGTTATGAAAGATTGAATAAGATTAGGTGCTCTTCATTCAAGACTGCTGAAGTTAGAAGTGTTTTTCCTGATGCTCCCCATCCACTTCCATTCAGTCCTCCCCATCTGAGTCTCCAGAGAAGAACACTTTCCACGTTTCAACAACCCGTGCGTCCATCCTTATGACCTTCCCGGCAAGAAGGTCCTCTTCTTTGATCCGCGTGTCTTCATCGTCGTCCAGAGATAGCGTCTGCGGCGGTGCAGTGGGCGGCTGGAAGATGCGACCAGTGGAGGAAGAGGCCTGAGGTTCCCCAGAGGAGCAGGACGCCGTTGGGGGACCTGTTAAGACAAAACTAAACAGGTCCCTATTCTCCAAGACATCTTGAAAGTCGTTAAGAAGGTCCTCCGAGTCGGAGTCGCGGTCCTCGACGTCCATGGCCCGTGCACCGGAAGGGACTGCCTTTTCCCGAGCGATATCCTCCACAACATCTGGGACGGAGGCCCAAAGGTCCCTGTTTTTACCTTTCCGGTACCACAAGCATGACTTTGCAGTGGAGAGGTGCGAAGAGAGGCCGCCAGGGGTCTTGAATTCGCGGTCGCAGGCGGGACATGTCCGGTCCTCCGCGTCGCCAGGGAATAAAAAAGGAATCCGAGCGTATTTCTTCTGTCCGGGAGCCATATTCGCGTCGATGGGCAAAGCTAATGAGATATGTTCCAATAGGATAACAGAACTCCAAAGCTATCCGAACGCGTTGGATGACGCAGCACCAGCCGGGGAGCGCCCAAGGCTTGCGCGCGGGGGCGGTGCGCCGCATCCCCGACACCAGGCATGCCTCAACACCCTCTGGCTCAATCGTAAGCTCTGTCTCCGTACCCCTCCTCTTGTACACGGAATAAACGGGACGTACAGCCTTCCAAACAAAATTTGACGGCTTGAGCGCCGCCGCTGGTGGCGCGTTCAGGCCCTCGCCCACCACCTGATTCGCCTTTGTACGTTGACTTACCCTCAGTCCAACTTATTTACTCCTCTCCAATGTATCATATAGACGTCTTCATGGTATACAAGCTGGTTGCACGTTGCAGCGGGGCCCGGAAAGCATGTCTATGGCCTCTGGTTTGTTCAAATTGCCTAAAAAGGAGTTTGCAAGCTCTTGCACAATGTCGTTAGTACCCCCTGGCGACAACGACGCACGCCCATTGCGTGAGTCCCATCTGAGGTGTTAGAAAAACACATTTTAACACGGTCCCACCAGTTTTGGAATGCATATCTGGATTGCCCGCCTGCCAGCGGGCAAAAGGGCGAAGAATGGGTCGTCCATATAGGCGCCCAGCCACCCGGGATGGGTTGCGTGGCGGGCTGTCCCAGCGTCGGACTCCATTTCCTCCGCGATCCCAGACCAGGACGTCACTATTTCCATGCAGGCGTACTCTAGCATTGACCACAACACGGACTCCGACAACTCGTCCTACGGGTCTGACAAGATTGGTTCCGGGCCCAGCGTCCGGAGTTCGCAATCCGACTACGACGCTCACCCCAGCATGCCGGTTGACTCCCACCTGTCTGCTGTAACACTTTACTCCCCCGACAACTCCTTCGAGCAGGATCGTATCAAATCCTTGACTCTCTCCGACATCCACTACGAAGGTTCAATCTCCAGGTCTGACAAGGCCCGGACGTTTGCGAGAGGCGTCCCCAAGCCGCTTCTTACCGCTAAGTTCAAACAACTCCTTGCGTCTTTACCCATCAATGCTGGAGAATTGCATTGGGTATCCGAATGCTTTACCAAGATATGTCAACTTCAGCTGGAGTGGCAGTCTGTAGGGTACAAGGGCTTCGTCACGAAGGTGAGCCGAACCCGGAAACCACGGGATCACTGACTAACCGGAACTCTTAGGACGTAACGATGGGTGAACATCTGTACAATATCTTGTTGAAGACACTGGATAAGATCTGGGAAAGTGGTGAGGGGGAGAAAGGGGATGAAGGAGACGAAGGCCGCCGGGAGCACCAGCGTTGGATGGCATTCCTCCGGTGCATTAGGTGAGAGAACATGTGAACTGTATGAGTGTCAATGTGGCTCATACACTGCTGTAGGGTGGACTACTGGCCTAGGGAACATAAAGCCGTGGTAATCGCACCTCTTTTCGTGGAAGAGAAGGCGTATATAATCACCAACACTGTCGCCAAGGCTCTGGGTGAGTACGAGCCTATCATGGGGGCCATGACCGCACTACACAACTGCCGCCGCAACTACCACGTCAACACTGAGGATGTTTGGTGCCGATTGATGTACAATGCATTACGTCTCGATGCCATCAAGTCTTCCCATGCAGAGGCCTGCCCCTTCTTCTGTATTACAGCTCAGACGGCCGAAGAGTTTATGTATGAGACGAAGAAGGTGAGTTATGTCCATTACAACTTGAAAGCTACGACTCTCTGACATGATTGCACAGATGGCGCTCATTGTCAAGTCTGGCAAGTTGGGCCGCACTCTGCGGTTCATCGTCGCACTCGTCAGGGAGGCCGTCCACGATATTGAGCCCGAGAAACTGTACAAGTCGAAAGCTCTCAATGTCATCACCTTCCACACGCATGAGGCCTATCCAGCGTCGCAGGATATTCCATGCCCAAAGCTGGAGTGTCGTGTGCTCTTCTACACCTCAGGAGAGATTGTCGACTTTGTGAGGCGTGCTGAGACAGCCGTCACGCTGGAGGACTGGGAACGCAGCAGTAACTTCATGGTATGTCCAATCCTCTTGAACGTTCATGAGTGCCAACTGATATCTTCTTTGTAAGTGGCTGACAGGGTACAGCACGAGGGTGGCTAGCACGTTGCCGGAGCTTGCCTGGAAAGAGTTCAACCGCCGTGCTGAAGGCCTTATCCACGGGTACAGGACGTATGTCTACACAACCGGGCACTTCCATAGGTGCGCCTTCAACTTCGAAGTTGAACCACCACCTGCCGCGGACTCGAAGGAGACGAAGAAGACGGTCGCCAATTTCACATCTCAGTTGTACAAAGGTCTCGAGTACTCGCTGTGCGTTGTAGCGCAGGACGCCATCTCCTTGGAGGCCGGCTTAGGTCGCACCAGCGTTAACAGGCACTCAATGGGCCTTGGAGGTGACGGCTGCTGGAGGTACAGGCTCTTCGTGTGATTTAGGTTATTTACCGTTGATCCAAGCAATGTATATTCTCCGATGATGCACGATAAGGAAAGCGCACACGCAATGAACGGAAGCAAAGGAAGCCAGGGTGTGTACGTACGGATGTAAGGAAGCGGTCCGTATGGGCGCTATGTGCGCCCCCAACCCCAAGTCCAAGCCTCCACCGATCTCAACCCAGATCATTCCAATACCGATCCATGGCAACCGGAAATCTTCACGCTGGGATGACCAGCGTCATTCATGGGTGGATGACAAGAGTGATCACCACTATGTGTCAGGCAATGGAGCTGAGCGAGGATGACATTGTTTTAAACCAGGAGCGGCTGGTCCGGGGGATCCAGCCGGACGTTAGAGTGGATGGCAGACTGGGCTTCAATCTTGTTCCGTTGGGAACAATTGAGACACTGGTTTCTCAATCCGTGCAATCCGCAACGACAAAGGTGAGTACAATTTCTCAACAATATTCTCACAACTCAAACTGACGCTTGCCTAAGTTCGCCGACCAATTTAGGAGGAACGCCGCGCCGCGCGCGTTCCATATCCTTCTCATCTTGCATGAGAAGAAATCAAAGACGCGGCGCGAGCGCACGCCCAGCACAATGGTGCGCTGGCAAGCTGCGGTCAACCAGGAGAACGACCCGGAAAGTTGGGGCGAATGGACCGCTCGTCACGGGCGGTCAGGCTCCGTGGTCTTGCCGATGTCAAGGGCGAGGTCGGAGCAATACCTCGCAGCGCTCCTCCAAGGAGAGGAGATCCTTCCGTCGATAGAACTCGACCGCAGGGAGATATACGGCCCGGTGGAAGGGTATTTATTCTTCTTCGGGCCACGTCTATTCCCCCTACTTAGGAGGGATATGAAGCTCCGAGAACTAAGGGACGAATTCACGCATCTGGTAAGTAAAACAGTAACATAATAAGAAATGGCATATGCTGATGAACCTGGAGCCCCTGAGCCTAGGGAAGCGTATCGATGATGATGTCCATGGGCAATTTGCGCGCCATGTCCAACAACAAATGGACAACATATTCGGTTTGATGAGGGCTCTCACCCTCTCCAACGAGCACAACAACCCACGAGCACCTCTTCCCCTTCCCGTTCGGCGATGACTACATTATCTTATGCGCCAACACAACAACCTCAGCGTGCTAGACATCCTGGGCAGGGACCTGGAGGACCTGCAATTGTGGCATGAGGATCAAAAGGAATTTATTTTGGTCGATTCGATATGGGATATTTCCGAGAACTGGGCAATGGCAGCCCACAGACTGATGGTCATTGACTCTGCAGATCGTGTGCGAAAAATGTTTCCTTTGTGATAGCTCGTCAGACTTGTTTGCATAATGCCATATCTTGCGGTAGTTGGTAGCGCAATGGGCGCCAGTCGCCTTCTCACCTCCGACTATGACGGGACTCGATCAACTAATGCTAACACTCTCCGAGGAGGAGTGTCGTGCGTTACAATCTCTCCTAGACTCTTTGGAAATTGTTTCTCCGCCCCTACAAACTGTTCGGGTACGCCTGTACCAAATTGGATCCGCATATCGCCAATGTGCCTCAGAGGAGGAAGATATTGATGAAGGGGGAGAGGCGCCTTGCCAAGGTACGTTCGGTAGCCCATTCCTGTTGAGATCGCTCTAGGACACAACTACTACAGCAAGGCCACCCGCCCCGTCCGACAAGCCGGTGTTGCGTTGCTCGGGTCGAAGCGCAAAGATGTCGGCATTGAAGAAATTAACGGGTCGCCGGGCCCCCCTTTTGGAGAGTCCCGGCGGACAGAGTACCCAGCGTGGCGCGAAACCCGGTCGCCAAGCACTCCGGGACACGGACTGTCGCAGGGGCTCGTCCCTTAGAAAATGGAAGCAGCTCACCAAGAGGGCTGCAGAGAAAGCAAAGCCTGGAGTAGCGGCGTTCATTGGGATCTTAGGATCGGTTGATCTGACGTCCCCTGAGGTGCACTCGCAACTCTCCATCATGCGCACGATGATGAAGAAAGGAGGGGATGGCCCGGGAGATGACGCCCTCGGTGATTATTCCCTTGTCTCCGTAGTCCGGAGGTGCTCGCGCATCGACGCAGGTGACATGTGTTCAAGCTTTGTCTTTATCATGCAATATATTCAATTGGCATGCAAGACATCAAGGTGGGGCATTAGTTAACTCCCAATCTCCAGTGTCCACATGAACTGATACTAGCGACTAACAGCATTCGTCGCTTGAGGAATTTTACAATTGGACAAGTGTACGACGAATACCTCGCGAATATTGAACAAGCACCAAGTTGGCGTACGTTCGCAAATTGGAATGCCATTGGAAGCAAGTTCGCTGCCATAGCAGCTGGTGGTACGTGGATATTTCTGTGCAGCGTTCACGAGTAAAAACCTCGTCCTGTCAGGCTCTATCTACACCCTGCTGCTCATTGTTCTGGCGGGCCAGCGTACATTGCTTACAGCGAGCATCAATGAGTTTGCATACTCACTTGCAGACATTCTTCGAGATCCCGGGGGTATGTATACGTAGTGCCTCGGCATGAATCATAGTCCGACTAATCTGATTTCGGTTTACAGATACGGACACAGGGGACGATAGTGGTTCAACAGATAATCCCAGCTATCAACGCGCTCCGATCATATTTTCCCTTGACATTCGACAGCCTGTTCAGTCCCGACCAGTTGAAGGAACTTGGGCTCGCGACGACCGTGCTTGATTGCACGGATTTGCAACAATCTGATGTGATGTTTGACTCTCTGATACTGAAGTAAGATTCTAAAACCCCTCGAGGCTTTGGCCATAGTTGACCATTGGAGGTTATGCTAGCCGCTTCACCGCCATCAAGAGGAATCCTGTAGCCTGGGCGTCTTGCCTATCGGGAGTGCCAACTGAACCCCAATGCCACGGTGCGATGTCCCTCGCTCAGATCAGCCAAGCCATCTTTCATCCGGGACATCTCAGCATGAATAACGGATCCACATCCGTTACAGTTCTGGATGAGGATGACGAACCTGGAACGGAACAGCTCGACAACGTGATCATGAACCCGGAACTTGTATCGCACAGCTGCATTCAGGTTGAACAGTTCAGCCTTAGTCACAACGCTCACCATTCATATCCAGTACCGAGGTCGCACTCGGAAGCAACGGCCTGGACGGAAAAGGAGCGATTACTCGCGCAAGCTGCACAGATGCCCAAAACACTGGAGGATTTGAAGGACAAGGTAAGTCGTGGCTCGTTGTGTAGAGAGAGATTGCTGAATGACACTGCGGACTGCTTTCATAGCTCTCTAGTATCTACAGCAACGGTGGGCGAGCGAACTACGAGGAATACATCAGGATAAAGCCTGATATTGCCGGGTAAGAGAACCGTAACAACCGTTCAAGCTTGTGTGGCTCATGACTTGATAGAGGGCCCCTTTGTATCGATGACAGTGATGGCTCTTTGATCGCATGCATACTTCCCCACATGCCCGAAGATATGAGAAGGATGCTCACTGTACACTTGAAAGCTTGCTTCGAGGACGAACCAGAAAACCTGGAAGAGACAGACTCGTCCTCTCAAGGAGAGAGGTACAGCTTCCCGGCTCTACATTTTTTATGGTACAACTGCCATGGTACTAGGGTCAGTGTGTTGTGCTCAGGTGGAACTTAGGCTTGTACTGACAAGTGGACGTTTGCAGGGCCACGATGTTCCTGTCGATGCACATCCCATGTTGATCGAGAGAGAAGACACATCGAGGACGAACTATAGCCAAATGCTCCCCTACGAATCTAAACATATGAAGCTCTACAATAATCTCAACCGCATCTTTGCCAGGGTCTTCGAATGGATAGCGGGGCAGGTAAGTATCCGAAATGTATCAGTTTGAGGTGCTGAAGAAATCATGATTGTTATCTAGATCAAGGATGTCCTGCGGATGGACTACAACGACCTTCGCATTGACGTGGACATGTTGCCCGGAAATGTGCACTCAATTGTGTATCCCTTCCTTTCTCTTGTCGTCAACCTCAATGTCGCCACTCTTGCTCACAGAGATCATCAAGACAAGACATTGTGCGTTGTCTTGGTCATTGGGGAGTTCGATGGAGGAGATTTATGCTTGTATGAGCCTGGTTTGGTTATTCTGCTTCGTAACGGGGATATTGCTGCATTCCCTTCTGCTCGTACCACTCACTTCAACTTGCACTTTTCTGGCTGTCGTGCCTCCATGGTTCTGCACACAGATAAGGAGATGGACAAGTGGACCAAGGATGGATTTAACGGTTGGCTCAAGAATAATCATTTTCGGTAGTTCCATTAGCGCCAGCGCCCTGTACGTACAATGTTCGCCCCAGACGGCCCTATGTACTTACGAGCATCGCAAACCCGTGGCTTCGCCATGGGTTTACGGGGCAATTTTATCATTCAGTGCTTCATGTAACTTTTAAGATTTCATGCTTATGCAATGCCAGACCTGGGCTTCGCCTCAGGTCTGGCGGCAGTTCTTTCATTCTGTGCTTTGTGTTACTTTGAAGGTTATATGCTTGGGCATTGCCAGCCCATGGCTTCGCCACATGCTGGCAGCATTAGTTCATTCAATGCTGTGTGTTAGTCTTCATACTTCCCGGCCTGTGGTTCAGTGATATCTTTGTCTTCTTGAATATAATCTGACATTTCTTACTATTTCCCGGTGCTGGTGTGACATTCCCTATTGTCCTGGTATTTATGTGTCATTTTCCTGGTACTACTCAGATATCCTATTGCCCGGTACTGATTTCCCAGTGCTCCCAATATGTTCAGTCTTGTGATTGCATTTTAATTCAATGCTTCCTGGCCTGTGGTACACGTTCAGCAATATTTCTTGTCTTCCTGTTATCCCGGTACTGATGTTGGCTATTTTCCTGGTATTTATGTCCCATTCTCCCACTACTGACATGTTCTGTATTCCCTTCCATCTTTGCAGGCCTCGGGAACACCTGTGTACTCACAGGTCCTATTTCCCGGTACTGAGTCGTCCTGCATTTCGCGCGGAAATCCCGCCTCGGGGACAGCTCGGGCGGGGGTCGCAGGCGCCGGGGAGGAGAGAGCGCCCGGCCGGTAGGTGGCTGAGGCCACGCGGCGAACGTGGACGCCATGTGCTCTCCATGTGCGTTCCACGCGAGTTACGCGCGCCACAGCAACACCGTCGTCCCATAATGTTATAGATTTGGCTTGCGTACGCCACAACGGAAGGTGTCACAACCAATGTTCAACTCGATCCCAACACTTGTCTTTGCACCGGACTGATTGTTCATCCCGCTGGGTAAGATTATTTCGCCTTTGTTGGTCTTTTGGAGCACACGGAGCCGGGTTCCGTGCGTCCCCGCCACTCCGACCTCTCTGAAGAGATTGCACATCCCGGGTGTATTGTGTGTTTGATCACTCTTTTGTCCCAACTCTCTGCACTTAGTCCCTTTGAACCATGCCCCCTCGCGCAACACGCTCAACCGCCAAAGCAACTAAGGGCGCCAAGGACAAGCCCCAGGCCACGATGGTGACACCGGCGGTAGAGAAGCCTAAAGTCTCAAAGACAGCAAAACCTAAGTCCGGGTCTTCGTCTCACAAGGATGATGCTGAACCTGTTGCCCCCGCCCCTGCCCCCATGAGCTATCAAGCTAGGCTTAAGGAAGTGAAGCAACATATGAGGACGGTACTCAATTTGTCGGAGAAAGAGCTGGACAAGGTAGCGAGGGACGCCATGGCTCAGGAGGTCAAGAAGAGGGGCTCAGGGGAGAAGGAGCGCCAGGAAGGTGAGCCGATGTCCATAGCATAATGATACTCAACATATTCCATGGAAACCCAGACATACAGGAGAAGGTCGCTGCCATGATGAACGACAAGCATTCAGGGTCGACTGGTGGGGAAGCCGATGAGCTAGAGCCTAGCGACAAGGAAGCCGACCCCCGCGACGAACATGAGGTCGAGCCAGATGAGCCCGCTGCTCGCGACAAGGGGAAAAAGAAAGCGGGTATGTAACTCAATTCAGTGTTATTGTGATTGTTGCTCTGAGGCTGTCTCAGGGCCGCCTGCGAAGCCACCATCTACCCCGCTGCGAGGAAAAAGGAAGGCCGCCGATTCTTCCGACGACGAGGGTAGCAATGGCGGGTCTGACTTGACGAAGCGTGGACAGAAGAAAGTGAAGAGATATGTTGTTCCAATGGGGCGGCCAAACTCGAAGCGTCAGATGGAAGTCATGATTCCAATTTCCCCAGAGCGTGCCAAGAAGATGTGTGCACAATCTGTGCCATCCCAGGATGAGGACAGTCTCGCTGCACGTCTTGGTGAGTACATTCGCTCCGAGTTAACGATGACGCTTGATACTTCATCAGGTGCGAGGGGCCCAAAGGCAACGGCTCGAGTTGTGGTGGACAGTGACGACGACATGGGGAGCGACGAGGCGAAGAGAGACGACAAGGGGAAGGGCAGCGATGAGGAGAAGGGGAGCGACGAGGCGAAGGGGAGCGACGAGGAGAAGGGGAGCGACGAGGAGAAGGACAACAAAGACAGCCCGCCCTACAAGCCAGAGGGTAGTGAGCAAGAGCATGACAGCGAAGATGACGGCGATGACAAGGTAATCTCTCACTATAGTTAAACCTATCTACTAAACTGTTTGCTCGTAGATGATCATCAAGTTGGAGAGCGAAGGGGACACAGCTCCCAAGGGGCGGAAGTTGAGAAAGAAGTCCAAGTCCAACGAGAAGACGTCTGAGTCCAACAAGGAGGCCGTGGGCGCGTTTGAAACGTTCATGGAGGACGAGAGGGTCAAGAGCCTCATTGACAAAGCGCAGCAAGAGTTCAAGGCGTACGTATCTCTGGAAAACGCATGGCCGCGCATGAGGGATGGCGTGAACGAGAAGCAGCAAGTGCCTGCTGATATCATTGAGCAGCTCATACGCTCCCACAGCCGATACCAGACGAAGGAATTCCAGGAGCTGTTTGAGCCGAAATGGAATCTGGACAGGACTAAAGCTAAGATCGTCTCCAGAGTACGTGAGGTGCATGATTGCCATCCAATGCTAAAGTTGCTGCATGCAGGTCAACAAGATGGCCCCTCAGGTTCGTCAAGAGATCAAACAGAAGGCCAGGCTGGTCGTCAATAGGGTGTTCCTCTTTGCGGAGCTGCCAGGCGGTTCTGAAGATCAGGATGAAGATGCGGAAGAGCTCAACGAAAGGGTGAAAGAGGCCCAAAAGAAGCGCATCCAATGGCTGAAGGCCAACAACACCTTCCACTACGGGCAAATCAAACTGCCCCCGCCTGACGTTGAACCTGAAGTGGGTTGTTGCTATTGCGCATATTCTGGACGGTTACTGACTTGAGCTAGCTGTGGGACGAGCTGGAGCTGGACATGCCGTTCCACAACCATGTGCATCAGGAAAAACCGATCTGTCTTGCCAAGCCTTGCCAAGCCATGTGATGTCTTGTCAAGGTACATGAGGCCAAAAAGGCCAAAAAGACAAGTCGTTTCCTTGCGACACCCAAATGTAAGCCACCCAAGGCAGCCATGTCCTTGTGTATCTTGTGTTAAGTCATTTAAGCCAGTCAGTTAACTCATCATGATAACCCTTATTCGCCCTTCTCAAAGCCTCCTAAGGACACTAAGCCACTTCGTGCTTTTGATCCTTGTGCATTTACTGGCAAGGCACCTTAGGCACACAATCCCCCTCAGGGCATCCTTTCAGACCACTCGCAATTCATTCACACATTGTAGCAATACACAGACTAAACTAATCAGGCTGAGGAAGATACAGGTAAAGCTCGGTCCCATTGAAGAGACAGTGACAATGACAGTACCCGATTTCCCAGGCCACCTCCCAGATCAACAGAACGTCGGACATATCTACTGCTACATTCATTCTAGAAAGAAACACTGTCAGCACACGAGTGCACAGAGATAAGTGGGATCCACTCACCCGGGAATGAGTTCAGGTACAGGGCCGAGTCATTCATGGAGTGCATTCTCGTCCAATGGTGGCAACGTCCGGGTCTCAAGCACCTCGATCCTCACACCGGTGATGTCCTGTGCATGGGCATGGGCGTTGGCACTCGACCGGGCTCAAAGTTGAACTGTCAGCACACACTTCGTCCTCAGCAAGAGACGTGCACTCACCTCTGTCCTCAGCAGCATGTGCCGTACTGGACCTAGGCTTTGTTGCCGTCGTGATCCTGGACGTGCCTGCTTCATCTTGTCCTGCACTCCCTCCGGCCCCCTCAGCTACTAAGAATTAAGTGAAGTTCTGCTAGTAAGGCTGCCTGCACTCACCGCCGTCCTGAGAATCCCGAGCTGCCTCCTCCGTTGCAGCCGCAGACGTCTTGGACTCAGCAGGCTGCTCAGACAGCTCTCGCAATGAGGTTCCCTCCCCGTCCTTTGTGTTGGCCTCATCCTCGCTCTCCACCTTGTCCTCCTCGCCCTCGCGCTCCATTTCCTCGATGTCATCCGCAGATATGTCATCCCAGTTGAAGCCCTGCGGTTGGCTAGGCAGGCTCTCCTCATCGGCTCGACCGCGCACCTTATCGTCTTCCTTGATCTTCAAGCTGAGAAAACGTAGTTAGCCTGTACCACTCATCCAAAACCTGTTACTCACTTGACGCGGGTCCAGATGCCACTCTTCATGCGTTGGTATACCTCTGGGCGCACTTTGCGCATCTCCTCAAGGATCGTCATGTGGTCGTTCCACCTGAGCAGACCCCTAGTTATACATTCAATAGTGAGTCATGCTAGTGTGGACTCACTTTGGTGCGTAGATCTTGTTTGAGAATTGCAAGTCCAGTGCATTGCTTGCACTGGTCTGCAGATGGTCCTTGATAGCCGCCTCCAGCTGTTTACCAGCAGCGTTAGCGTGCTCAAATGATGAATACCTGTACTCACCACATTGCAGACCAGGGCGATGAGGTTGTCTGGGACGCTGCTGAACTTCTTGCGCTGATCTCTCACCTCCTTATGTGATAAGCTGAACCAGAACGCGTAGATGAGCTTGGCGATGGCAGGGTGTTGGAACAGCTTTGTGTTGGCCAGTTTGCTCTGAAGTAAACGTCAGTCGCATCTGTTCAGTAGCCTATCAATTAGACCACGTACCTTCTGCTCGTCAACCCGACTACCACCCTTGCTCTTCTGCCCGTCTGTCTAGACAACCTCCAACACCGGGAAGGTGAAGTAAGGCACGGAGGCGTAGCCTCCCTTCATGCTCTGCTTGTAGGTCTTCAGCAGCCACGTCGCCAGAGCCTCCTTCTTAGGTGCTTTCAGCCCCGCGAATCCGTACGCCTCATTGACAACCTGCTTTGCCTTCTTCTTGAGGTCGTTCCTCATCTGCGACGCGCCCTGCCAGACCTGTGGATGATGTAGTGCTGTAGGGTTATGACATGTTGATCGATAAACTCACCAGGTCAAGCACCATCTTCCTCAGGGCATCCACCTCCTCTCCTTCCCCTAACAGCTCGTCCAACGCAACCCCAAGATCCCGTGGAACACGCCCGTCCTTGTTCTTGTGGGTCGCCACCAATGTCATAACTGTCTCCAAGACTTCATGCCTGTCTGACAGGCGACCATTGGTGGAGCCGTTGTACGTCGTCCAGGCTTGCTCGAGCGCGATGTGCATCTTGAGGTACGACGCAGCTAAATTCCTGACCGGGGCGACAATGTCTGGCAAGTCCGTCACCAGAGCACGGTTCCGAAGGCGTTTCCGTGCAACACCGCTGGAACCCTGCCTTCTCTTGCCTCTGCCCTTTGCAATGCGCTTTCCCTTCAGGTACTGCAGGATTGTTACTCATGCGGGCAGGCTGTGTATGGATTCCTATAGCATTACTCACCTTGACGTCGCTGTGGTTGCTGGCCTCGTCTTCTCCTCCACTCTCCTCCTCATCCAGCTCATCACCCTCGTCAACGGTGCCTCTTTCCTCATCATCTCCACTATCTTCAGCTTCAGCGCTCCTCAAGATGGACCTCAAGCTGTACCACGTCGACTTTCCGGCCTTTGCAGACGCTGCCTTGTCTGCAACCTTGGCTCCGTTGACATTCTACGTTGTTCATACCAATGTTAAATGTTAGCATATCATCAATTACCATTGGTGTTCAGTCACCTTCTTTGACTTTGTCGGCGCCACCGTAATCTCAACATAGTCGAAGACCTCGCGTTGTCCTTTCGACAGCCGACGGGGACGACCCTTGGCCTTCCCTTCAGAAGGCGACGCAGGTGCAGCAGGTGCTGCTGCCCTGGTATCCTTCTTGGGCGACACGGGCGACACGGGGGTCTTCTTGGGCGACACTGGGGTCTTCTTGGGCACCACCGGGGTCTTCTTGGGCGACACCGGGGTCTTCTTCGTCACTGGCGCTGCTGAGAGGTCATCTGTAGTTGTAGCCAGTCGACTGACCCACAAGCACACTCACCGATTTGCCGTGCCAATTCTCTCTCCTCCTCGTCCAACCCGTCATCCTCATTGACCTGCATCACCACGTCATCATTGTCGCCTTGCTCTTCAATGGGCTGCACGGCCTTGCCCTTGCCCTTGAATATAGGTTTGGGTTTAGCTACAGATAAGGGCAGATGAGTCGCTGTTCGACCAAGTGAGATGGGAATATACGTACGACGCTGCCTTTCCTTAGGCTCCTCGACCTCCTCATCCTCCTCGACCTTGTCCTGCGAGCCCTCGTCTTCAACTGATTCCACATCTCGCTCCGTCCTCGTCTTCTTGCGTAGGCGATAGTGGCCCTCGTCTTCGTCCTCACCCTTGTCCTCTTGTGTCTCTTCCATGGTCATAGCATTTGACCTCTTGCGAATGTCTAGAGTTTGTGAAGAGCTATGGCCTCAGACACAGATTCACATAGGGTACTCACTGGCTTTACGCGCAAGCTCCCGCTTTTTATCCTCTAGCTCCTGCTTGGCCTTCAGTTTCTGATACAGTTTCTTCTCCACTGCCGTCATCGTTGTCGACACGTCGCCATCTTCGCTCTCATCCTGCGAGGGCGGCGAGAGCTGTTTGCTGGCCTTAGGTGGCTTTGCTTGTGGTCTGGCTGCCGTACCAGGGTTCGTGGCGGCGGCGCGTGTCTGGCGTTTGGCACGGGGGGGCATGATGAGGGGAGAGACGTCGACAGAGGATAGGGACGTGGACTCGGACAAGATGTGAGTTGGCTGTGGGAGCGGGCATTGTGGCCGGGCCATTCTTCGAGTTCAAGAACCAACCGTTCCGGCGGCTGTACTACTACTACTCTTGCGGAGTTCTGAACTCAACTCCAAGTCCCAAACGGGACACAACATTGACGCCACGTAAGAGTTCAAATGCACAATAGAGAGTGCCATATTTGTTGAGTACGACTAGCTGGATATTCATAGTGCAGTAAGTAGAGTAGGGTACTGATCACTTTGCGAAGTGTACATTAGAGCCCCATCCGTTACGATCCCCGTCCAGCCACTTCGACATCTCCCTGTCCGTGTGTAGTACAATAGAGGCTCTGCGACCAATGTAATGTAGATTAAAATGAGTGATGTCGCAGGAAGGAAATACTACAAAGTTCCCGTGCTTAAGTGGTATCACTAGACCTGGTTCATACAAACAAAGATCACCGCCCTCGAAGTCTCCAAGAGTCATCACCAGACACAATGTATTGTCCTTGCTGTCCCGATGGGCCGTTGTGATGACATTGAAGTTGATGACCAGCCCAACAAAAGGATGAACAGGTGAGACATTGCCGTCAGGAAGAATAGAGGCTATGGCCTCGAGATGGCTATACTCGGCGGGTAGCATGAATTGGAGCTTCACAAAATGAGGAGTCAATGCAGATGTTGAACAACAGAGGGGTTACAGTACCTTTCCATCAATCCAGGCAAAGACGTCCTCTAGAATGCTGTTGAGGGACTCGTAGAGCGCTGCATTATCAACCATGTCTTTCAACGGGTAAGGCATTAGCTGGCTGTGATTGGTTCTGCTGACACCAGCACGCCTCATCATACGAGGCAGGACGTCCTGGGGCGCGTTGTGTCCCTTTGTGAACCCAATTCAACGGACGGAAGGGAACCCAAAGGCTTAGAACACACCTGAGTACAGTGCCTGTTGTACCAAGAGAAATGGAGAGTCTCGTACGGCTGCGTGAGAGGATCCGATGCTGTGGTCCTGGCTTGCAAGGGATCTGAGTCAAAACACGAGATGAACCGCTGGGTGAGGCTGCGTTTCATAGCCTCTGGCATAGACGTGCATATGCTTGCCAGAAGTGCTTCGTCAGCACCTTGTATCGCTAGGACATCCCTGGCAACACATCAGACAGAGAAACAAGGTATGAATGGGCATAATACACACTTCACGCCGTCCAAGGCCACCCTTGTATATGAGTCCTGAGTGCGTCGTTTCCCTGAGACATACATCGTGCTCAACTGCGTGGGACGCACGTCACTATTTAAGTATTCATGCAACTCAGTGTACTCACCGTGGTCTCCAGCTCCTGGAGGTCTGCTGGTTTGCTAGCTCCACATGCCTCTGCACGAGCTCTCTCCGTCCATTCATTGTTATCATTCCTATCTCGACAAGCTGGGAAACGTGAGTTATTGGTGTGTCCGGGATCGTATGAGGTTGCAATGGTCTGCACTTGCACGCCCGCTGACTCGGTAGGGATCGTCATAGCCAACGCCAAACAGTCCCCTTGAGCATCTATGGATCTGGGCTCAGATTCCTCCGAGAATACGGTTAATGGAGATTCCTCCCTATCACATGGCGAGGGAGTGTCGTTCGAGGCGTCAGTTGTCCCATTCGATTTGGAAATGCTATCAAATTGTGCCCATGCAGCATTGTGCCTAGGGACTAGTACAAATGAACTAGTAAGCACCAGAATCAGTACTCTTGGGGGCTAGCTGTAAGCGCAAGCACTCACTTGGACCTGACGCTCTCGAACAATTTGTCAGATATGGCTAGGTCACTGCACAGTATCTCTGCAGGCACGCCGTTGAGCTCGAGCAGAGCTGAATCTTGCATGATCTCCTCGATCTTGATAGGGCAGGTACGAGCTAGAAGTGCGACCATGGGTATGATAGACTCCGTGATCATTTTGCCTTCTTCTGAATCTATGCGTTGTTCAGATTCCATCGAGCCATTGTGAAGAGATTCAACGCACCGTCAGGCCATCTCAGCAGGTTACCGATGTCCGTTGAGAGGTTGACATGGCCCCTACGGATAGTCCATCGTTGGTTGCGAAGAGCGATCACCATAAGTACATAGATTGACCCTGCCATATTTGGTGTGACGTTCAGAATTGGTACCTTGTCCACCTGAGTACTTGCTTACCTCCTGCCGCCAACCGTGCGTACTTTCTTCCAGACGCACACATCTCATTGAATTCTCTATAAACCAGCGCGTCCTCAACGTGCCCCAGACAAGCGTCCCATATGACCTGCGTCGATTTGTAGGCCCTGTCCTTGTCTGCCAGCATACTGTTGCAGTCAGTGTCAGCCATACAGGCGTTCCAGGACAAACAAATCTCACCTTGTGACCTTGCATGCTAGTTGAATTCGACTGAGCATAACGTTAAAGGAAGCAGCGGTGTCCTGCTGTTTAGCAAAAACGCATCGAGCAACTACTGCCTCGAGTTTCTCCGAAGTGATGGCCCGTGTGTAGCCTTTCAAACCCGCATCCAAGTAACGACGCATCGCAAGACCACATTTGATAATGGCACGCTCTGAGAGTGGGCGGGTTATGGACGTCAAGAATTTGATTATCTCAGGATTGGAGCTTTGAAGAGGAGCACTGAGCTCCTCCCAACCGGCCCTTTTGGCATTGAACTGAATGCCATTCCAAGGGCATGCCAGTGGTGGCCGAAAGTCGGCATCATTGGGTTCGCCAGCACCACCTGATCCCTCTGAAGGGCCACCTTTGGGATAAGGACTTGGTCCCGGATGACGTTGGGACCTCCGAGTTGTAGAACGCTCCGGACCGACGCCCTGCTCTGCTGTAGCTGCGGACTTATCGCAATCGATGCTACTAGCGGTAGCATCGGTGACACCGCTAGCAACCTGAGCAACCTGAGATGTTGTGATTACCATATCAGTATCTGTTTCATTTTCAATCATGTTAGTACGTCTGTACTCACCCTGTATGAATGATACCTACCTGGTCCAGGACCGCTGGTACATCCAGATGCGGTGGCTTGGTCAGGTTGGAGACCTTGTAGACGGTGTAGCAAGCCAGACAAGGCAGGTGTAAGGGCCCTCGTCCGACCTAGTAATTCCACCAGCGCACAGCTCTCCTCTGAAGTGAGGAGCACCGACACCATAGCTATAAAGATGTCAGAAAGAGAATCCCTAGGCTGCTTGCTGCCTTCCAAAGTCCATACCGCGGCCCCAAGCTGACGTAATCATGACTGGCATATCACATGACACATGTCAGGTATGCGTAGATATTGGGCAAAGTTGATAGTGAACACGACAAGCGATACGGACCATGATACATATGTACACCTGTAGGAACAATGAGAATACAATGGTACGGACAGCAACGACGACGATGACGATGACTCAGGCTAGCGAGAACAACCCAGCAACGACAACAATGACTCAGGCTAGCGAGAACAACCGCCTATCGCCTGCCCATCATGTTCTGCCCCTTGGCCGTGCCCTTCCCTTTGTCCTTCTGCCGACTGGGCCGACAGGACCCACTGCCAGTGGACGTGTCAACATACTCCCCGTCTTTAGCCTCCTGTGCCGCCTCAACTGGGGCTGTGTCACGTTCCACATTGTATCCTACAACAAACTCATTGTATTGCTGTAGGCCCGCTGGGTTGCGCCACTTATGGTCCATGATGGGGCGTGGTGGCTCAAGCCGGTCCTCGAAGCGCGGTTTCTTGGTCAGTGTCCCTTCGAGCAGGTATTGGTAGCCGTCATTGAGGTGGCCGTCATCAATATCGACCCAGCGCGGATCGCCATGGGTCCGCTTCATGCCGGCGGCCAACAAGACCTTGGGGTAACTGTTCTGTGCCGAGAAGCTACTTTGGTGCTTTTCCACGGCCATTTTTTCTGCTGCCTGTGCGAGACCTTCAGCAATGAGGTCTACCACATACGCGAGGCCGTAGTTGTCGTCCTTCACGACACCCTCAGGCAACTGTGCCTCTTGTGCCTTGAGCCGAGGGAGGACGTCTTTCAGCCACGCAGTCACCTTGTCAGAATTGGCGCCATGAATCACGTTGATGGCCAGCTTTTCGTACGCGCACTGCATATAGCGAAGTTGCCGCACGTACTGCCCCCACACTGGTATCATCCTCCGGTATTCCTGCTGTACTTTGGGGCTTTGCTGGGTGCTGTCACCCGGTGCCTCTGGGACGTCTGGGACGATGTGCTATGTTCACTTCAGCAATGTCGTGAAGCAGAGATCTTAGTGAGGCTTACCATGCCATCTCCTTCCTCGATGAACCGATCTGCACTCCATCCAGCCGTGACACCCTTCCTCAGGCGCTCCAGACCCTCTCTGTCCAGGAAGACAAGCATCGCAGCCGACCTTTCTGGGGTGAGTAGCGTGTCTCCCTTCCAGAGTTGGCCAAAGAAAGAATCGGGATCTTTGAGGGGTGCCATTTTCAATTCGAGTATGCCATCCGCTGAGGTGAAGGTGACCATCTTACAGCCCACAGGCTTTCCATCTCCCTTTGCCATTGAACTGTCCTGGAGGTTGATGATAATGACCGGGACGATACCGAATATCTCACTCTCTTCTCCCTCTGGCTTGATAGACCGCCGCACTGGACTGGGAGAAGGGGATCGGGCCGCTGGCTTGGTAGACTGCCGCCGTGGACGGCCCTGGGCCTGAGCGCCTGCCAGGCTGGCAAGGGTAGACGACTCGGAGGAAGTGGCTGCCAGGGCAGGTGTAGACAAGGAAGTGGCCGCCGGGGCAAGTGTAGACGAGACGGCAATAGTAGTTGTAGACAAGGAAGTGGCTGGTGGACGGAGAGAAGGGGATCCGGCCGAGGCCTGAGCGCCTGCTGGGCTGGCGAGGGTAGACAAGGAAGTGGCCGCCGGGGCAGGTGCATGCAAGAAAACCACACCCTCCACCTCTGCAGGAGCGAACTTGGTCATGAGACCGGCTGTTCGAAGGGTTTCCGTTGTTGATCCCACAGCAGCCTTCAATCAGAGTCAGAGCCAGCCTATGTACAGCAGCACAGGAACTTACTTTGTGTAAAACGTGACCGTCATGCTCGCTGTGGGACGTCTCCACATTGGTGACCTCGCAAGAGAATGGGGGAGGTTGCACTTTGGCTCCTCGAGTGACCCTACGTCGGCCCAGCAGACGCCTGAATTCTTGGCGAAGAACAACCGACAGCTTGTGGTCAGCGACCTGCTGGAGCATCTTGCCCTCTGATGTGACACAGTACGGTGCTGCCTCGCTACTCTCCGCCTTGAGCTTCGTGTACTTGAGTTGTTCACTCGGGTACGCGACAACATTGATACCTTCCTCCAGCTGCCTGCCGGATTCTGTGTGCAAGGGAGTGGTGACGGACATTGCTAAGTGTTGCTGGCTGAGATTGTAGAATAATCTATTGTGTACTCAGTCATCAGCATAGCCGTCACCATTGGGAATAAACAACTCACTTGATGATGCCACGACGGATTTGATGGCAAGAGGCGAAGTGTTCCTCTAGCTTGTACCACTTGTCACGCGGCAGGTAAATGGTCTAGGATATGTCAGCACACATGCAGAAGTGACACTAACGAACGAAGCATGCTTACCCTGACCGAAGGTTCTACAAATGTAGCCCGAGTGAGCCAGGGGAAGACTTCGTCAGTGAACCAGTTGCCGAAGATCTTGTGCTGGTGAGGGAAGTTGCTACTGAGCAGGCGATTGAACAGATGCTGGACGTGGGGATTGGTGTCGAAGGGATTGGTGTTGGAAGGGGTTGGCTCTGTAGTCGGTGAACAATGAGAAGGGGGGCACAGGACATATGTACGGCACTGACGTTTATTGCCCTTACCGTCGTCACTTCCAGAGTATCCGGAGTCGACAAAGGAGCTGTCAACAGGTGGGTCACTCGCTTGAGACGTGAAAGCTGTCTTGCCGTTGGACGACGAGGACGACTCGTCTGACTTGGCGGCGGGGCTTGCGGCAGAAGTGATAGGGGAGTCAAAGGAGACCTGAGGGGAAGCCATGAGTTGCGTTTTCAACGATACGGGAGGGAAGTTCCTGGGGATGCCTGCAGTTCAACATGATACGGGTGAGGTGTTATGTAACTGCGGGCGGAGCAAGTCAAGTGACGCTGCCGTGCACATACACATCCTAACTTGTACCTCTGTTCTCCTTTTCCCCAACTTCGACGGGCGCATATGAAGGCCATGAGGCCTTCATGCTCTCACACTGAACTTCTTGACGATTCTCAACGATAACGTGCAGGCCCTGCGTACCGTCAGGTATCGTCGCAGCAGAGCCCCAAGTGCCTGGTTGTGCAACCTTCCTTATAAGGGAATAGGTGAGGACCTCGCCGACTTTCCAGCCAATCAGGAACGGCGATTGCCAACGCGCCCACATCGCCTTACACTGAGTGTACCAACTGGAATCAAACTCAAGGAACTTTACTTACCTTACCTGACCACACAGATGGAGATTCAGAAGAGAAAAGTAAGTGATCCGGTATTTTAGCTCAAAAGCTGACTACCTATGTGTAGACTGACGAACTATGAGTGTTAGAACTGTAAGGCAAAGAGACCGTACAGTGTATGAGATGTGGCGCTTGACGAGTAGCGCTTGATGAGATGATACGTTGAAGAGGGAAGGATGGTGGTGGGGAGCAAAACCACCTAAGGAGAGTGAGACGGTTAAGGGCACCGAGCCAGTACGGCGTCCCCACACTTAAGGTTCTGTCAAACCGGAACACCGGAAATGTTCCCGCACGGACTGCGGGATTTACGTGTTTTGTGTTTGAGTCGAAGTTGCGTGTAACCTGGAGCGTATTCACCACACATGGTCGGTTCTCAGAAGTTGAGAAATCTATACTAATCCCCTAATCCCTCTGTGTAGAACCATGAGCAGCAACTGCACCAAGCGCCTCAAGCTACAGGGCTTTAAACCGGTCCTTGGCCCGGTCTGTGAGGCATGCAACAAGCCATTTGAAACAATGCAAGGGCTTATGTCGCACCAGTCCACAAGCCAGAAATGCGCCTGGTATAGAAAAGGGAAGAACAGGGTGATTTACACGCCTCTCGACAACAAGGATGAAGTGGTGATGCGCCGGCATGGCTTGGACGCCTTGCAGAACAACAGTTCTAGGTGCGTGGTGCTTAAAGCACACGCAATTGAGCACTAACTCGGTATCCAGCTCCAGCTCTAGCTCTGGCATTCTTGAACAAGGCCGTAGAGGAATATCTCCTGACACTAGTCAGTTTGAGCCCGAGCCAGGTCAGTGGATTACCCTTGCAGTGAGCAAGACGCTAATTGATATGTTAGGAGGGGACAATCCTAGTGAGGATGGGCCGTCTCTTAATGATGAAGACGGGGACACATCTGAGGCAGAAGAGGCGATGGAACAGCTAATATTCGTCCCTTTAGCTGGTCCCAGCCACGACGGCCAAGCCACGCAAGGACAGCAGGAAGCGGGCCCATCTTCCGCACCAAACCGTCGTCGCACCTCCATAGTCCTGGATGATGACGATGACGATAGAATTGTTGAGGTGGATGAGAAGGCTGGGAAGGAGTATGGTGAAGGGCCTACGGCTCAGGAGCAGTGGAGGAAACGTTTCAGCCAGGGGAAGGGTGAGTACAACAACTCCAGTCGTGTTCACTAAGTCATGCGTTGTGCAGATGGCTTCCAGTCCCCAGATCGGCTATGGGACCCATGTGAGTCCGAGATGGACTGTGACCTAGGGTCATGGTGCATCAAGGAAGGCTTGACAGAGGGTGCCGTGGACCGCTTGCTGAGGATTCCCAATGTGAGTCTCAGGTTTGGCATGAGCTACCATGTGTAACTGACGTTTGTGAGTAGTTTCAACAGAAGCTAGGCCTGTCGTATCACAACATGCAGGCCCTGCTTCAGAAAGTCGACTTGATGCCCGAGCGTGCTCCCTGGATGGAGCAATGGATAGGCTTCAAGGACCGCCCTGGGGAGGAGCACCTGGTACAGTACCGGGACATCATCACGGCTATCAAGGCCTTGCTCGGTAATCCAGCCCACACTCACAAGATTATATACAAACCTAGTAGGATATTCACGGATCGGTCAAGGACTCACAGAACCTACACCGAGATGTGGACCGGAAAGTGGTGGCAAGCCATTCAGGTGAGTTAAAGCTACGTTCTTTGCTATCTGTATTTCTGACTTGAATATATCTGCAGAGTGTTCTGCCCCTTGGGGCCACGCTTGCTCCCATCATCATCTCCACCGACAAGACTCAACTCACCCAATTCTCAGGCAACCGATCCGCATACCCAGTATACATGACTCTTGGCAACATACCCAAGGCTTTGCGCCGCAAGCCATCCGAGCACGCCTGTGTCCTCATAGGCTATCTCTCCGTCGACAAAGTGAACCGAGCGGGCCTCTCCGAGAAGAGACAGCGTGCCCTGGTGCAGCAACTGTTCCACGCATCGGTCAAGCTCATCTTGAAGCCCTTGGAAGAGGCTGGGAAGCACGGCGTGGACGCTACGTGTGGCGACGGCAAGATATGCAAGGTTTTTCCTATCCTTGCAGCTTACGTGGCAGACTACCCGGAGCAGTGCTTGGTGACCTGCACCAAGTACGGTACGTGTCCCATCTGCCAGTGCCCAGAGTCGTCTCTCGAGGACTGGAAGGCGCAGCTACCCAGGCGTCAAATATGGACTCTGGACGTGCTTAGGAAGGCTGGTGGCAAGGGCGACAAGCCCGGCTCAGCACCTTTCTACAACGCGTGCAAGGATTACAATGTTTCCGGCTACGTTGTAGACCCATTCTGGAAGGATCTCCCCTATGCCGACATACATACTTGCATCACCTCTGACGTGCTCCACCAGCTCTACCAGGGTGTTTTCAAGCATGTCCTTGAATGGTGCGCCGACCTTATGGACGAGCAGGAACTCGACCAAAGGATCCGCACCCTACCTCCTGCGTACGGCACGCGACATTTCAAGAATGGCATATCTGCCTTGTCGCAGGTGTCTGGAAGCGAAAGGAAGGACATTGCCCGCATTCTCCTGGGGTGTCTTGCTGGACGCGTGCCAAACGGTGTCATGCTTACATTCCGTTCGCTCCTCGACTTCATGTACCTCGCCCAGTATCCCACTCATGACGACATCACTCTCCAGTACATGTCCGACGCACTGGACATCTTCCACAAGAACAAGGGCGTTTTGCAGGAGTTGGGTATTCGCGAGCATTTGAACATCCCTAAATTTCACTCTCTACTCCACTATATCCAGACGATCAAATTCCTGGGTACGACCGATAACTACAATACGGAGATGTTCGAACGTCTCCACATCGACTTGGCGAAGAAGGCTTGGAGGGCTACGAACCACCAGGAAGAACGTCCACAGATGGTGAAGTGGCTCGAATGCCGGGAGAAAGTAGCCATATTTGAGACGCTGCAGGAGCGGCTTGCAGAGGAGCAGCTTGCAGAGGAGCTAGGTCATGGAGATCGAGACGCAAATGGGAATGCTCAGGCTGGCTCATCAGATCCACACAAGCCCACCACGACCAGCAAAACCGGCATCCTAATGTCCAAGCAACCATCTCTAAAGCAACAATCCATCCCCTCCATTGCTAACAGACACGCAGCACCCGGGTTCCCCAAAGCCCTGAACCAGTACATCTATCGCATGAAGCTTGGACGCCTGCTCACCCATAGCGAAGCCCAGGAAGCCCCATCCTATCTTCCATTCTCCCGCCTCGACATCTTCCACGGTTTTAAATTCACCAACGTACCTCTCAGCGACAACACCGCCGAACGTGACGCTGTGAAGGCAAAGCCAGCCTTTGGCAGTCAGGCCGCAAGATTTGACACCGTCATTGTGCTTCAAGGTGATGACGCTGAGGCAACCGGCTTACAAGGTACGCTCCATGTGAGTGCATCACGAACGAGCTTACAAATTTACCATCCCAGGGACCCGGATCGGACGAGTCAAAGTCGTCTTCCGCTTACCTGACAAGATCACCGAGTACAGCGCGAATGGAGGACCAATGCCAGCACCAGACGAATGGGCCCAGCACGGACCTCTTGCATACGTAGAATGGTTTGCCAAGCTTCCTGCTTGTGCGGATCCCATTCATATGATGTACGAGGTGCACAAGATGCCCCTTCGAGCGGACAGCACCACTCCTGGGGAGGTCGTTCCCCTGAGCATGATATGCCAGTCCTGTCAATTAATCCCCCGTTTTCCTAGACCTAATTCTGTAGACTCGCCCTCCATCCCTGTGCCTGAGGACTGGAACTCGAACAATGTCTTAGATAAAGCAAGTAGATTCCTGCTCAACAACTGGGCTACAAAGTACAGTTACCAAACTCTATGGTAGTATGTACAGTTGGTACTTGGTAGGTAGGAACTTGAAGTATGCAATATGACCTGCTTGGCTGCCTTGAAGCACACGTAAGTAAGACACTTTAGCAATATGTAGCAAAATGGTACGTGCTTGGATGGCTTGGGTTAAGGGCCCTGTAATCTTGGCAAGGCAACAGTGGTCCTGGCAAGGGAATTGGTTAGTTTGACGCGCAATTGAGCTTGCCATGGCTAGCTTTTTGCACTTGGACAAGGGCAAAAAGCCTCAAAATGGCTTGTGTAATCTCGGCAAGGCCTGGCAAGACAGATTGGTTTTTCCTGATGTGATCGCAGAAGTCATTGCCGGTATGTGGTACACAGGAAAAAATCCAGACGCCTTCCGGCCGGGCTGCAGGGAGAAGTACGACCTCGACGGGCAGTGCAAAATCATCCCAAGCAACATGATAGCACTTGCCTGCTGCGCCGTAAGTGATCAGATCATTGTCCGTGACGGTGCTGTCTAACAGACGAACAACTTGCAGATCTTGGCCGCCTTCGACGATGTGTTGGATGCCACATCCGTTCACTTTCAACAGAAGGTGTATGCAGCCGTGTATGCCCTTTGTGCTGCTGTATGCGATGTAGCCTCTTGACATCAGCGACAGATTCGATAAGTTGAAGATTGGCGTGGATGTAATCCAACGCGACGAGAACTTGGTTGAACTGGCCAACTCCATGAACAAGACGCTGAAGGACCACATCAAGTAAGTTGGTTATTTTCTCCAAGAAGCATGCTCACACGGCTCAACAGGGTGTATGCTAACCTCAAGCGCGATGATGGCAAGAACGTCAAAGCCAAGAAGGCCGTAGCCGAAGACCCGGGTTTCAACACTGGGATGTTGAAGGCGAAATGGCGGCGGCGAGCCGCCAGTAACGCTACCCCAGCTGCGTCGCAGCGTGCTGCTGAGGCTGGGCCGTCGAACGCTGGTAGTGGGGACAAAGACTAGGTCGGAGTCTGTGGCCACCTCTGTTTGTGACGCAAAGGCATGGACTGAATCTGGGCTATCGGTCTCTCAACTGACATCATTGTCAGGCTGCACCCCGGGCACACAACCGCGTTCTCGGGCTTGTAGGATAGTATCTCGTTGACCGGACTTAAGGTTGTTGTACTCTGTTGTGTCCCCCTCTCTTCATACCAAACGGTACACCGAGTTGCCCTCTTCCATGATGCCCCAGTTACTTTCTTTGGTCGCCGCATCCGCACCATCCGTACTGTATCTTTGCCATCTGCTGTATCCCTTATCGTCACGTCACGCGCATTATATTCATGAATCATTCCACCCATATGCACCAATGGGCTGAGCCGGGGAAGCCGTCAGTATATTTGACTGGTTGAGACAAATTCAGAGCCACTGGGAGCAACCAGGAGTGGATGGGCAAACATTGTGATCGATTATTGACCAACCCAGAGATAACCCAAGAACAACAAAACAGGGCCGAATCAACTCTCAACCGGTGAAAACACATTAAGACACTATTAGAACGGCAACCAATCAAGGGGAAACAGACTTAAAGTGCCAATGAACCACCCTTGAAACAATTTAACCAAAAGCCCCAACAGCCCCTCACTGGTTTGAAGGATTTACAATAACATGTCTGAACTGATTGAACAATGTGTAAACATGTTATATTGAGCAAGCGTCTCTTATAACATGAGTACGTTTGTTGGGTATGTTGCGGCAGGCCTAACATGTTGAAACTGATTATTTTATGTTAAAATACGTTGAAATATGTTTGGGAACATGGGCGGTTTTCCCTGATGTGCTATGACAGATTTAGATGCTTCCGTGGGACGCCAGAGACCGAGGCATCCCCGCGCCCGCGGCGGCAAGAAGGTCCAGGCGACCAAGGTGCACAAGGCTCTCTTTGTCGAGAGGACCGTTGCCGCCCTCGCCGTCACCGAGGAGGATGCGGCGGCGATGCCTGACGCTGGGGTTGACGATGAGTGGGACGTGGAGGCGGTGTTGCGCGCCTTGCAGGTGGACGGGCGGGCGAGGATGGACGGAGCGCTGGCAAGAGGCGTCCAGGAAACGGGCCCTCTCCTCTGGAGGGAGGAGGTCGTCCGCACGCAAACCGAGTTAGAATAAGTACAGTAACTATCCGGTGGTTACGCGGTATCCTTTACAATGTTACAATGACACTATTTACTCGTGTGACGCTCCGAGTTTGCCAGCCGCACAAGGAGGTGTTCGATGGTCCGGTTGCGCGCTGTCATATGTCAGCATCAGAGAGGCAGTGGGCAGTCTTATGCAAGAAATCATACCAGCAATGTCCTTCTCATACTGATCTATCTCCTTGGTAAGGCGTTGCCGCGCATCTGACTCTATAATGGCAATCATGACAGGATCAGCTGGCTGCATTGAAAAAAGGTGTGTGATCTTCACCGTCAGATGTGCTTGCTGATTCAGCATTATTCTCGCTGCTGGCTCCTTGGCTAGTATAGAGTGCCATGAGTTGGGTGCAGGTGTTGCTGAGGTGACGTCGGATTCGGAGGTGTTTGGCCTCGGAGGCTGGTACTGATGGCCCAGGGCTGTTGTCGCGACTGAATGCCAGATAGTTAGCAAAATTGCTGATTGCCGCCAAAGCGGGGATGCCAGGCCAGGGGCCGCCCTCGTCGCTGACTTCCGCCAAAGCGGGAAGCACGGGCACGGGGGCGCCGTTGTTGCTGCAGAGTTTCTTCAGTGTAGCCGGCACGCTGCCAGTGTCTGGTCCCTCGGAACGCATCCTCTTGTGCCGTGATGATTGAGACCAGTTATGCCTGTGTGGTGTCATGGCAGATGTAGGCCTTTGGAATCACTCTGAGGCGCACTGCAGCCAACAGGTTATGAGCCCTGCACTCTGAAAGCCTCAAGACGTCCATATCTGCCCGTCCAAATGCTCTGTGGCCCTCCCAAGGTTTCCCCGTTCGCTCTTTCAGCCTACCTGCACTTTGAAAGCCCCTGTCTTCGCCCCTATTCGATCTTTGGTCAATATCTCGCTCATCTCTGCGCCGTTCTGCGCCGTTCTTTGCTCAACCCGTCCATCCGCACGTCGCCCTTTGTACCGTCACCATGGCGCCGTCCCCTGCTGCGTTCCCGAAGCTCACCAATCACAACTACCAGCAATGGAGGCTCGATATGGAGGCTAGACTTTGAACTCTTGCAGCTCTTCGCATTGTGAAGGGCTCAGAGACCAGGCCTTTGTTTACTCTGCCTCTGGACGCCTCAGAACGTTGAGACTTGCGCGATTTCGAGAACAGGAGGGACCTGGCAGCTGGGGAGATCTGGGGGTGTGTGGAGAGGGAGCAGCAGACGCATTTGGAGGCGATCTGAGACGATCCTGAGGTGATGTGGGTGAAGCTGGAGTCTGTGCACATGCAGAAACGACCTGGTACGCGTTTTAACACCTACAATGCGCTCCTGAGCCTCTCCAAGGCCAAGGACAAGTCCCTTTCGACGCTTTCGACGCGAGCTTCGCAGCTCAAGTCCGATATGAAGGCCCTTCGTCCCCAGGACTTCGACATTGCCAAACTCGACGATGAACTCGTCCTTATGGCCCTAATTCGTGCACTGCCCGCCGAATATGCTGCTCTTCGTCAGACCCTCTTGCTGGACGACGCCCTCACGCTTGAGAAGCTCCAGGACATGTTTGTTGCGCTCGAAAACCAGCCTGGTGCGTTGTTGACGATCCCTGTCCTCTCCCAGGTCGCTGCTGCCATCATCTGCGCTTTCTGCAGTTGCTCTGGCCAGAGCAGTGCTTTCTCCAAATGCGATGCTATTGGCTGCAGTGCGCCTCAGGGTGATTCCAAACACCTAAGTCGAGCTCTGTAAAGTCTTTATATTCAAGAAAGCAAAGATACACACCTAAGTTGAGCTCTGTCAAGTCTTAGGGACTGAGAGCTCGACGAGGCGGACTGTCTATGGTGTGTGTTATGTAATACATACAGCCACAAAGTCGAAATCAACAAACAAGTAAAAAGCAAATGAGTGCAAGGGTTCAAATCCCAGAAGTGTCAAACATTCTAGAAAATGGTAGAGTGAAGGGAAAAACATTGGAAAAATACAGTATGCACGGTACAGTAATGGCGTCCATGTGGAATAAAGGAGAACACACCAGGACACATATTATGACTTGGACAGGGCAATGGAGCTCAGAATAATCCGCAGAAATGCGGAATAAATTCGAGCTCAACAGATGCTAGTGTCAAGGCAAAGGAGAGAGCATCACAGCACACGCAGTTTCACTCTGGCAAGGGCATCTGGCAAGGGCAAGGATAAGGCAAAGGAGGCAAAGGAGGCGTCGAAAAACATCCAGGATGTGCAGGATGTGACCCAGGAGTCCACTGGAGTGGCCACTGTGAGTGCTGGTTGCACTTCTGCCCTCCTCTCCTCATCAGATTGCGCCTCCTGGCTCTCTATGCCTGCAGCAGCTAATTGGAACACCAACCAGCACAGGTGCTTCTGCACACATGACACCTAACTGCCACTGGTTTTGCTCCTACTTGCCCCATTCCATCCCCATTTGCCTTGCCAACTTGCACATCATCTGTAGTTTTTCAGCCTGCTGAGAGGGAGGTGGTTTTACCACCAGCTGTTGTACTGCATGACATCCTTCATGTCCCTGCGCTTGCTAGCAATTTATTGTCTATTTTCCATCTCACACACGAGAAGGGCTACATCGTCGAGCTGCAGGCTGCAAACACATTTTTGTTTTACCAGGACTGGGAGCTGCGCTTCAAGGCGTGAGTTAACGAGCACAATGTCGGCTATCTGCTGGGCCAGACTGTGTCTCAGACAAAGAATGCATCGTCCGCTTCTAGGACCTGCGATCTGAACCTTGCGCTTTGGCACCAGCGCTGGTCACACATCACTCTCGACGACCTCCGCTCGGCACACTCAAAGGGCCTTGTCTCCGGCCTCACCATTTGTTCAAAGCGCACCCCTGACCCCATCTGTGAGCCTTGCCTGGCTGGTAAGCTGCATCAACACTCTATCCCTTGTTTTGTGTCCAGAAAATTTGTCCGCATTGCCCTGGTTCACACCGACCTCAAGGGCGCACTCCCTACGCCTAGCCAGAGGAGTACGTCCACTGGATGACTTTTATCTGCAATGCTTCGAGGTTCTAGGCTGTTGCCTTCCTGAAGTGCAAAAACAACACATTCTCCACATTCCAGGTGTTCAAGGCATACACTGAAAACATGCTAGGCCTTGTTCTGCAGGCTATATGCGAGAACAAGGGTGGGGAGTACATGGGCAAGCAGTTCATCGATTTTTGTGCTCAGCATGGCATGCAGCGCCAGCACACTGAGATGAACCCCACCAGAACAGTGTTGCGGAGCGAACCAACAGGACAATTGCTGAGGGTGGCACTGCCCTCCTTGTCCAGTCAAAGCTCCCACCCGTTGTTTTGAGGCCACACTGTCTCTACCTTTGTCCACACGCAAAACCGCATGCCCACGTCATCACTGTGAGGTGCTGCGCCCTGGACTGCCTAGAAAGGTGATGGGCACAAGCCGGATGTCTCCTACTTCCATGCTTTTGGCTGTCTTGCCTATGTGCTGGTGCAGAAGATGGATTGCAAGGTGATGCAGCCACACACCAGGAAGTGTATTTTCATCGGCTATCATCAGGGCACAAAAAGGCCTGGCAATTCTGGGACCCTGCTGCAGAGAAATTCAGCATTTTGTCACATGCTGTCTTCGATGAATGCTACTTCCCTCGTAATTTGCCCTTCATTAATGTTTTTGGCCTTCCTCTCAATGAGTTCAACGTCCCTGGCCCTCCTGGCAACAACAGCGAGCCCGCTGAGGCGGTCCTTAGTGTGCCAGACCTGGTGCAGACCTCCTGCACCTCCATCGCAAACTCCAGTGCCTGCACCCCAGAATGCCTGCAAAAGTCCCCCTGACCGTCCAGCACGTCCGCCCAGCCCTCCTGCACCTCCGCCGCCTGCGCCGGCCCCTCCGCGTCCAGCAGCCCGTTGTCATATGGATAACCACGACAGATACAGGCCATATCCTGCACCTTCACACACAGACTCCCAGCACGTTCTACGTGTTTTCCATTCTCCCTGAACAATGACAACTTGCAGCGGCAAAATCTCCTGCCCCAGTGTTTTAGAGTGGACTCTCAATCCCTGCCTTGACGCCTGAGCCAGACCAACGTGAAGAAACCCCTCAGTGTGATTCTCCATTGCCAGATCCTCTCATTAATGCACCACTGAGTCCACCTGCTGCTGTGCCTGCTCCGCTTCCAGAGCCTGTTTCTCTGCCCTTTCCCACCTCCAGCAATGATGAACTTGATATTCTGTGTGGATTCGGACACGAGGACACTCTTGGCTGCTTGCTTGAGTCAATGATTGCAGGCATTGAGCATGTGTACTCCGCTGGGCACGAAGATTTCTTGTCCTATGACAAAGGCCTCAACTGTGCATTCAAGTATGTGGTTCAAAACACGTGGAAGGCGGACCAGGGGCACTGGGCAATGCTAATGGCTCGATTGAGCGGTACAAGGGCTAACTCATTGCGAAAGGCTTCTCCCAATGTCATGGTTTTGACTACAATGAGAGACATTTGCTCCCACACCAAAGTGGGCGTTGATTGGAGCCATTCTTGCGCTGGCAGCACTGGAGGAGGAAGACCTTGAGCTCGAGTCTGTGGACATCTCCTCAGCCTATCTCAACCGCAAGCTGAAGGAGGAGGTGTACATGCAGCAGCCAGAGGGCTTTGAGCAGAAAACTCCGGACTGGGTGTGGCGGCTTCTGAAGTCCCTCTACGGTCTCAAGCAGGCTGGATGTTGCAGGAACAAAAAGCTGCACGAGGGACTCACCAAACTCGGGTTTTCACAGCTGATTTGCGAGCACAGTGTCTGGGTCTACTGTCAAGATGGAGTGCACATCATCATCCTTGTCTTTGTCAACGACATCACCATTGCTGTGAAGTCCAAAGCGGCCATTCAGCGTGTCAAGGACGACCTTCGTATGCACTTTAAGCTCAGGGACCTCGGGCCAACATCTTGGCTCCTAGGAGTCAAGATTGAGCGCAATAGGACGAAGTGTTCGCTCTCAATTTCACAGCAGCAGTACGCTCTCAACATCCTGGAGTGCTATGGCTTCACAAACTGCGACCCTGTGGGCACCCCAATGGAGCCTGGCCTTCGTCTCAGTGCAGATATGGCTCCCAAGACGTCGTCTGAGGTCAGGGAAATGCAGAACATCCTTGCAGTTGCAACTTGTCAAGACATTGCATGCACTGTGGGCAACCTGGCACATTTTACAAAGAACCCTGGCATGACGCACTGGAAAAAGCACCACTCATCCCAGATGGCGTCCAACCATCCATTACACTGAGCACAGACATCCCGTGTGCAGTGACAACAGGTGACAATGCTGCCACTGTTGTGGCAGCGGTAACAGTACTGCAAATGTGTCATTCATCTGCTAAAAATGGGACAATCAGTGCACGTACAATGCTTGACTGGTCATATTGTGTAACATTGCTCTCTTGCTTCAACTTGTCCTCCTGCTCATCCAGCTCCATGTCTTCACTGTCCATAACACCATTGCAATAATATCAGTGCAGGATCTGCTCCCTTGACAGGTTGCTATGTTGCCAAAAACCGGACAGCCTCACACACTTAGATGGATTCTGCTTGGTCCGGGCCATTGTTTGCAACAGTAATGAGCGCATAGTGAGGGCCAGACACAAAGAAGATACACTTGGCTATGTCCAGTGGGAAGATGGGGGAGACAAGGAGTGATCCATGCCCACCCTTATTGCATGTGTGACACATTGCATCAGACCAGTGATCAGAATCAGATCACTTCTTTGATCGTATCAACCTGCTGCGGAAGGACACTTATGGCTTCTTGACAGAGCCCATCATACACAATCTGATGTGGATAGAGCCATGAGACTTCTTGAAATCGTCAAAAACGTGATACAGGGATGCAATCCAAGACAGTTCTTTCACCTGATTCAATGCGGGCATTGCCAAGTCTTAACATCATGTGGTTCAGAACAGAATAGAGTCGCAGAATCATGCATGAATAGACTGGCAACGTCTTTTGGCTGAGGGTAAGGGGGTGACGCCAAATAAGCAATATCCTATGATATGTGAAATGGTTGCATCACATTGAGGTTGCTGAGGAACAAGCAGTGTCAGTGAATAACTATTGACCTTCTATTACTTGAATACCTATGATGTCCCATCAAGGAATGCATATAACAACTAAGCACAGACATAGACACCATCCCCTATATGTCACATTGAGTGAGGTATCTTGTATGGTATCTTGTATCACAAAACACGTACTGGTGAAGACAATTGTGCAGACAATCACAGACAAGACAGGGTACAATGCAGATGAATTATTGCTGACATGTAGGTCCTCAGACGTCCAACGTCTGAGACAGTGTAGCCATCAAATTCCCCAGAACTCACAAGGCATAAGGTGGTGTATCTACACATAGCATATCAGTATACAAAGCAAAACGAAAACATACATGGATCTCAAGCAGAATCAGGCACCCTGCATGCCCATGGGAACATGCAAGGGAGACCTGTTTGGCTATGCACATAATAGAGTGTGCAGGCACTTGAGGTGGGTGACGGTGGTGAACACATGAGAGGGAATGAAAGTCCGATGGTGCTCTATTATGTGATGGACCACAGGCCCTTCATAATTGATGTATGGCACATGCAGTTCAATCTTCTTATATTTCCAGCCACACGGATGTATGCCCATCACAAATATCAAGGTAGAGTAATCTGATGACTTATTTATCAAACATCTTCAGTGTACAATAAGCTGGGATATCTGGTCCTGTGGGGTTTGCAGACATTTGGGGCTTGGTGAGTATGCCTAGACACATGCACGTGCATAGCCCAACATTGTGGCTAAGGGTGCTTAAGCAATCACGCAGCTCCTGCACTCATAACCATACCATCCACAACAAGTGATGTGATGTGAACATCTTGCAGTGGCGCGGGAGGGAGTATTCATGTAAACTTATCAGTATTGATTGACTCTCCTGATTCAGGAGAGTTGAACAGTTTTGCACAGTTCTGTGCAGTGCTGCCATCACAGCAAGCCCACCAAGATTGCTGACACTAACCAATGACCTTACAGCATGTGGTGCCCTCCCCTTACTTTTGCTGGACACAATACCATGCCAGTGCAGTGAGCATGTTGTGTAGGAAAAGAAAGCTGTATTGAAACAGCAATATTCAATGTTACTGAGATACAACAAGACTACATTGTGAATTCTTTACCACTACACTTGACCTTGCACAAGACATGCTCCACCATTATAGGGTCAAATCTAATCCTGGACCTCACAATGTTGGCTGCAGTGCACCTCAGAGAGATTCCAAAGGCCTAAGTCGAGCTCTGTAAAGTCTTTATATTAAAAGAGGCAAAGATACACACCTAAGTCGAGCTCTGTCAAGTCTTAGGGACTTAGAGCTCGACAAGGCGGACTGTCTACGGCGTGTGTTACGTAATACAGCCACATCTGTACAGTAGAATAGCCACAAAGTCGAAATCAACAAACAAGTAAAAAGCGAATGAGTGCAAGGGTTCAAATCCCAGTCAAACATTCTAGAAAATGGTAGACTGGAGGGAAAGACATCAGAAAAAGATACAGTATGCACAGTATAGTAATGGTGTCCATGTGGAATAAAAGAGAACACACCAGGACACATATTACGACTTGGACAAGGCAATAGAGCTCAGAATAATCCACAGAAATGCGGAATAAATTCCAGCTCAACACACAGCTGCAGGCAGCCTTGCCTGCAAATGATTATATGCAAGCCCTTGACAAAGGCCATGCATACTTCATCTTCAGTAGCTGACTTGCTGCTGAGAAGTCCAAGATGCATGAGACCATTCCTCACACCTGAATTCACCATTGCCACAGCCTGACCCATCTCCTGCACATTTAGCATTGCCACAGCCTGACCCATCTCCTGCACAATTGGCATCTTCACCTTTCCTGCATACAAAAAAATCAGCTGCCAGGAGTGTTTGTCTGGGATTAATCTGCACCACATGGATTGGCCAAGAATTCTGCATGTGCAAGTGCAAAGGAAATATCCAGCTTATCCTGGAAGAACTTGTTTCATTGAGGTTCAGCCCTAAACAATGTGGTCCTTTGCAAACATGCTGCAGGCTCGGGGGTTACAGACATTGTCAGCAGGATGTAACAAACACAATGCCATGAAGTCCTGAAACATTAGAAAGAATGTGCACAAGCAGTACAACACCTCTGTTGCAAATGTGATGCAGCAGAAGATGAAGGCACACCTGGCTGATTGATGTTGTTGGGATGGCATGGCCCATTTGGCTACATCACTGTGTGATGTCCATGCGCAAGTGCTTGTTGTCCTCATCCAATTGCTGAGTGGAGATGGTCAAGCACCCCATAGCAGGCCATGACAAGGCGGTGGAGCACTTCAAGGCCAGACATTGAAAAGTTGGAAGGTTGCAAGGGCTGCAAAGCAAGCAGGAGTGTTGAAGGAGCAGAGCAAGATGATGAGGCTGATGGGGCACAAAGCATGGAGGTACAAGGCTGAAGAAGCTGCACAAAGGCAGAAGCATCAGATGAGGTGGGCTGGGAAAGCATAGAAAGTGCACAGAGATCACAGAACAGAGGATAGATTTGGACTTGGGCTTGGACTTGGCTTCTTGCCCTTGGATGGCGCAGGAGCTTTCTCTGCAATGCATATGTGAGCAGACATACACAAGGAACAAGGAAAAAACATACTGGGTTGCTGGGATCCTGCAAGAACAGTCAGAACAACACCAAAATTGAATAAGTGCAGTACTTACTTCCAGGAGCAGGTGCAGGGTTCTCAGTCCCCAACTCTGTGTGGAGATCCACAATGTGACTGTCATATGTGGCTCATGAAACGACAGCCACATAATGCAGGCGCTCCTTCCACTCCCTCCAAGCCTCAGCACGTGCAAATATGAATGGATGCACATACTTAGGCTTGCCAGGCCAATATTTAAGGACAGGGACTAAGTCTGTGTCAGTGAACATGATGCACTGGCCCTCCTCATCAAATGCAGAGAATGCACTGAAGAACACGTCTGGGTTGAGAGAAGGACCAACATTGGCTTGATGCCTAAGATGGAAGATGAGGTTATACAGCTGGCGCACCATGAAAGATGCAACAGTGTGCCTGTCCCCAATGTTGAGACCATCAACAGTGTAGTTGAGGTAGTTGCTGTAGATCTTGTGGTCGTGGTCATACCTGCACATGCATGAGCAAGACTGCACAAAAATGAAGTCAATACTTACGTTGGATTGTACATCTCAGGTGGGATGTCAATGGCCTTCTGCCCAACTGCTCCAAGCGCAAGCATGGAGTTCCCATCCATGACACGGCTCATGGGGTACATGACATGGTTCAGACGCACAGTGTCCTGCGCAATCTCCACCGTATTGTCAGAGACATACGGGCTCATTCCCATGTGCCAATGAAGGCCAGAGAACAAGACAGAGAGTAGGCTAGACCTCTCTGACTCATCCTCTGCAAACCCATCCGGCAGCCGCACAAATGTGTAACACTCAGGGAAGAGGAAGAGCCCGGGGTGGATGCCCGCATGCAACTTCGAGAAAATAGTCATGACGGACATCACACCTATGGAGTCGTGCTTGTCTTGATGCACCCCGCCAAAGAAACCCAGACTGTCAGACAAGTCCATGGGTCCTGTAGGAAATCAAGCTACAGTGATCAACGGCTCCTTGGGTCACCACCGGTCCTTGGGTCACTCGGCTCTCCTGGCCCGGGGCAAGGGATATCTGTCTCGGAATTTTGAGTACATCACTATACAGTCCTCAGGCTACACACTGCCGAAGCACTGAGGCAATCCGTTGAGCCGTTGCCCCTCGATGTCAAAGATCATGCATATTTTTCTAACAGACCCAATTTTATTCGTGCAGATCCGACTAGTTATACATGTAAAACACCCATTTTTTCATCATGATTACACTATTTACATGTCTACCGAGGGTACCTGGATGTATGATGCTGCAGAGGATACCCAGTATCACCGGAAGTTGAATATGAGCATGTTCAACTGCCCTTTCGTGTGAGACGGTTGGCGATCACATCTGTCACATCACATTGCCCTATTTGGTACACTGCCGTAACGTGGGCGCTTGTTGAATACCGCACGGGCGGGCACAAACCTCTTCGCAACAACCTTAAAAAGGCCTCAGAACTCGTTTTCCGTAATAAAGCCCAAGATCAGCCCTAAGAGCTCAGTACCACGGCCAAAGAAAGTAGAAGAAGTGATGAGGAGGACGATGAAGAGCAAGATGGGGATGCGGAACATGGCTCGATGACCGAGGAAGATTAGATCCAGATAATCCGGATTTGGCAAGTGCGGCCGTGATGTGACCCGCATCCCAAGGACCCGTCTGAGCCTTGATAATGAATTTTGACGTTGATGCCTAGCGATCCAGGACGGTTTGCACTCAATAGTGATATATTGTACCCTATTATGTTATACACGTCTGTAGCCACCAGGAAATGGGAAGTGATCTGACATTTGGGACTGAAAGGGATGGTTCCAAGGACAAGCAAGATTTGGCTGACCCAAGGAGCCGTTGATCACTGTAAGTCATCATCAATAACAAAAAGGGGAAAAGCGGACCTTTTTGGAGCTTATCAAGGTAGAGTCAGGTAGAGACACTCAGCTGGCTTCCACCAAAGCAGACATTGCTCATGGTCCCAGGGCGGAAGTACCCCAGAAGCTTAGCATGCATCTCCAAATGGCTCAAGCTGGACAGTGCAGATGATGTGTACACCCAGCTCCCTGCCCACCTGCAGACAAGTCCTAAGAAAGCAGACAGAAGTGTTACACACCTTTGCTCCCTATGGATCTCGGCATCCTCACCATCTCCTCCAGTAATTGACTTAGCCTCCACATTGGGCAACAGAACACTGTTCTGCACCTGCTGGGACTGTGTGACGGTGTAGATGCGCTTACGATCCTTGGTACCCTTCAGGCCCTTGCTCATCACAAGTTGCTCAAACTTGGTGCCCTTGATACACTCCCCATTTGCCTTGATGGGCACCTCACGCAAGCACTTCTCACATGAACCAATCACATGGCTGAAGGAGTTGAAATAACACTGCACAAGCAGGAGGGGCATGTCCCTGCAAGACATCAGGCATGCACATGTCTCAGAACACTATAAATACTCACTTCTCTGCCACAATGTAGGCACACCGCAAGGCCTGCAACCAGAAAGGGGTACCTTTTGGCACTTGAAGGTATGTGGTAGCAAGGCCCAGCCTGAGCATTGTGTCACGGGCACATAGACACAACTATCCCGCTTATAAGTAAGCTAGCACTGCATATAAGGCACCCAAAACTCACCTATGTCTCCAATGCATGCTCCTCTGAAACATGCAGAAGGTTCCACTCCATCGGATTCCTTGCACTGGCAGTCATGGCAGCAGCAGCAAGCTTGCTGTTGTCTATGATCTAGACGTAGCAATTGGTGATGGGATCTTTCCGGTGGGATTGAGAGGGTGGTAACTGGTGGTTGTTGATGTGGAAGATGGGAGGATGGAACTCAGGACAGTTAGGGACAGGGGGCACCCGGGGCTCAAATTTTGGAAGGTAACCCTTCATACGCTGAAGCATGATCCCGGAAACCGGGGACCCCCCCTGATAAGATTAGATTAGCCTAATACGGTACTGTTCGTCTTTGCACTGCCGCCGCCTGCAAGACCGTCCTCAGTGCTACATCGCTCAAGACTGCCTGAGTCGTTTCAGCCCGCCTTTGGTGCTTTCAAATGCGGCTCCTTCACGATTTTCGACTGGCCTCTACCACGCTTCTGTTCTATCTGCAGCTCCTCCCTGATAAACTTGATATAGTCGCTGTCCGGGATATTGAAGTCCTCGCAGTTGATCTTCATCTGTTCTTCTTCCGCTCGCAAGACATGCATATTGAGGAGCTGCTGCGGTGGAATGGCCGGAACGGTGAGTGCATCCGGAGCACTGTGCTCAAGGAGGAGGTGGATCAGAGTGTTGTATTTCCAGATGGTTCGCGGCTGGCCAGTCAATGTTGGAGGGCAGAGTGGGCAGTGTATAGGGATGTTGGTACAAGGGCTATTATTTTTGTCTTCGACGCAGCATTATATTTCATCTTGGTGTGATGATACTTGCAGCTTGAATGGACAATCCATGAGTTCCTCTTCTTGACGAGCTGTGTGATACATTCGCCGTCACGTCCGCACCAACTGCACGGTTCGATTCCAATCTGCAGACGCAATGTTTGTAAATATGCGAGTACAGTAACTCCAAAAGACATACCTCAATTTTGTGAGGCTTCAGATGAGATATGTCACGCAGTGCGTACAACAGATGGCGCCCTACATGGTTCCGCATCTGTGCGATGGTCTGCATCTTGCCGCAGATGAAGCACGTCACCGTAGTGGACCCTGACTTCTTCTCTACGGTCAAGTGTGCCGGAAGATTGACAACGACAAAGGTCAGCTCGCCTGGTATACCTGTGAGTACAAAATCCATACAATATCGAGACTGTGGTACTCACTAGTTGGACTGCGGCGGCTCATATAGGGTAACTGGCGTGTTTCAAGCACCGGTAACATTGCAACGTCCACCATGAGCTCTTCCGAATCGGATCCAAGCGCATCCCATGTGACGTCCAGTGCATCATGGAGGACAGACGCAATGTATGACCAAGTTGTTTGGACACGAGATGACTTGTCAGACTCCATGTTGGTATGTTGTTCACTCGCCTCGCCTTGTTGACCGCTGGGCCTTGTAGGGTCTCCCACTTCGTCTGCGCGTGCAAGCTCAATGATATGTGGGCTCAATGGATGGATCAAGTAGCCGGGGATCAGCAAGGTAAGCTCCTTTGTCGTAGCTTGGGCTTGGTCTGCCCCCTTTGTCGGGCCGGAGCGGGCATACTGCCTTGTCCATTGCCAGGTATCGGATGCTGTTTGCTGACACTCTGCGAGCTGCAGGATCTGAACATCCGCAGAGTGCAGATCCATGTTGAGAGAGTTTGTCTGCCTCGACACTGGGCATCCACACGCTGTCACCTCAGTGCCTGAGTCGGAGGCGACTGAACCTGTGGTGTACAAGTTGCAGGAGCTGCCAGTGGAGTTATAGGTGCAGGTCCTTGGGAAAATTGAACAGTTGATCTGATGCAACGCTGAACAATGTCCTTACCTGACAGACATGCCATAGGTGGAGGGTGCCGCAGCTGAAGCCAATCGAGAGCTTCAGTGACTTGCTCTCGCTCATATTTCTGTCGATTCCTTGTACACTGTGGGGTCCCTCAATGCTGATTGATTGCTGTAGGATCTGGACAATCATCCCTCCCAGAAAGTGTGATCCACTGTAGCATAGATCGCACTGGACCTCATGACGGAGACTCACAGTGTTGATTTGGGTAGTTCTAGACTCCATTACAAAGAGTGATTTCTGTAGGCTGTGGAGGCAGACGCTGGGCAGACATGGCAAGGGTTAGGAAGAGATCACCGATAATATTATTCCCTCTGTGCTATGCTTATGCCATTTCGCTGCTGTACCATAGAAGTAGCCTGAGCAGGTGGCAGTTAGGACGATCTGGATCTCTCACGTGAGTTGCCTTTCAGGGCGCATGTAAACTTCAAACCTTCGCTCACATCCTTGCAGTGCCTGGCAAACCTCTGAAACACCCTTAATCGATGTATTGCACTGTAGACATCATTCCAAACTAGTAAGTCATGCTGTATACTAGGGACTTGTACTACTGTAGGATGTTTCGTGCAGAAGCAGCCTTAAACTTGCCATCAAACCCCCGGAAACTGGTCGAGGGGGGGGACCCCCCCTAGTTGCTTCCACGGAATGTGGTCCCGGGTGCCCCTGGTTAGGGATGCATTGGACACTTAGCCATCAATTCATTGTGCCTTACTGTGCAGCTGCCAGTGTTACATATCTTAGTTTTCTCCCCTTCATCCTATAGATACCAGAGCTCTGCTCTATATTTGAGTCTTAGACATCTTGCCTGGAGCTAGCTGAACTCACCACTGCACTCATTTTCCTGTCTAATCAAGTCTAGAATGAGTGTGGTGAGTATGAAATGAGTGTGGCAAGTGTGAAATGAGCATGACAAGTACAGAACACAAACAGCTTGAGTCAGTGCAGAATAAGAACAAGTGCATGTAATAAGTAGAAGGAATGTGGCACTGAAAAAGTGCCGAGAACATGGTGCCAGTGGGTGGCCGGTGAGCTATTTATGGAGTGTGCCAGTGGGCATCAAGCAAGTTGTTTATTTGAGAATACATTTGAGAATACTAGTGGGCCCCCTTCCCAGCATCTTCACACATAGTGAAGTAGAGATGCTGAGAATGGTTGATGTACACATAAGATCACAACAACTTATGATATCACTGTGGGTGGCTCATTCTTATACATTTATATATACTGTACATAACAAGGCTTCAATACAACAACTTTGCCAAATTGCTACCATAATCCCATTATCAACCCAATTATTGACCATACACAACCTTGATGCTGCTTCCACTATCAGCTCAATGACATGCATTGCCAAACACACATACCTCACAGCACACAGAAGCATACATGCAATGTATCTTCAGCAGGAAGACATAAATGTATCATGGTATACACTAAGAATGAAGGGGCATGATATAGTAATACTATGTATACCATGGTTGATTACTGATTGACACTATAGACACTATAGACAGCCGACAGAGTGTGAGTGCTAGTCATGGCAGCCAGCCAGGCAGCAAGTCACATCGAAAACCTGCAGCTACCATATTGGGTGCCATGCTAAGGTGTTTCATGGGCCCTCACCCCAGGACAGAGCAGCCAGCCACAGCATCTATTTGTATCTGTTGGTGCAAGTCGTGTGGTCTGGGAGTTTCAAATTTCAAGTCCTGCTAACGGGACATTAGTATCACTTACTTATCACTACTTATCTGGGCCCCAAAAAGTCATGTGGATTCCTTCCATATTGGGCTCCATGCTAAGGTGTTTCATCCCCTCCAGTCATATGAACAATTCCTTCATACCTCAGGGATCATAATATAGACACCTTTGGCATCCAAGGATACTAGCCAGAAGTCATTTGGGTATGAGTTGATGATCTTGCCCACCCACTGCCACACCACATGGAGGATGCTGTCACCTTGTCTTTGGCCACTGTTCAGGATGACATCAACTAGACACAATACATGGGTTGTATGAGGACTTGCATGTGAATCACTGGGTTACTTGCCACAATTGGATTGTCATTGAAGGAAACTCCCAGAGTGCAGCTGCCACTGCTTGGACAGTCCATGCATTTACAGAGACATGGCTGTGGCCTGCCATTGCAGCAGGCATATGCATGCAATCTGTCCATGCCTCCAGTGATGGACATGATTGGTCCTGCAGTGCCCGCTCACCAAGTGCTGCAGTAACAGACAGACATTGAACTGTCATCAGTCATTTCAATCAATTTACAAGACACCATATGAGCAACACTGTAGTGGTCATCTTGGATATTGGATTGGGTGGCAAACGCAAATGCAGTCATATGACTTGCATAGAAGCTATCATGGTTTTGAAATGACCAATGCAACAATTGATAGAGAATGCCCCGATTTTATAAAGATCATTGACCTCGGACCAACTGGCAAACCAGCAACTCAACCCAGCAAAATGCATGTGTCTGCCCCATATAGTAGCTAGATACTTTTTGATGCAATGTCCATGAGCATGCTGGCATCTGGGAGAGGAAACAAATTTATTTGGAATTTTACATACTTGTTGTGAAGTTGGTGCCATCAGCAGTGAACTACATGGCAAAGTGATACCCCAGATCACCTCTATAATATGACACCTATCATTGTGAATATTATGTGTATTCTTGCAGAGCAGCAGCACTCAAAAGGGCAGTCCTTGACTAACAGTAGCAGTAATGGTCAGGGACTGATGCCCATTTGGAGTAGGAAACTTGCTGGGGAGTGGGCCATGTCTGGCAATACAATCCCTTCAGTTTGAAATCTCAGAGCAAGCAGGCAACATGTCTAGTACTGTCACATCTGTAATACTACCTCCTCAGCTCCAGACATCCAATCTTACATATCTCCCACTCTGGATTCTGACTTGTGCATGCCTTGATAACCCCACTATTCTTCTTCATGACCTTCACAATGATTGAACTTACATATCCAGGCTTCCCTACAGACATGGTACCATCTACACCAACAACTATTGAGTTCATCATCCACCATTTAATCTACATGGGTCCACAGAATTGTGAGTTCAAATGCCTTGCCTATGGCTAGAACATTGCTTTGGTAATCATATCTCATTCCTCACTGCATATATGATCTCTAACCTCTGTTTTGATTACTGCACATGTTGGTCTTCTGTCCAGTTTATAATCTGTGCCTGTGATGGCTGTTGGGTGCATGCTAGCTGACATGTATTATCCAAAATGAATTGTAATGAATTCACAAGTGAGTCAGTCATATCTAGCAGCATTCAATGCAAGTAATCACTCCATTTCAGCAGATGCTACTGCCAATCATGAACAGTTATTGATGGTGTCACATTGTAACATCAAATCTTAGAGGGTGCATAGGCATGCCAATGTGGTGTCAGAACAGTTCAGTTGCACATGATTGCCCCTTGGGCTCAGGCATATGGTTTCATTATTTAGGTGTGTGCCTGACATATCTAGAGTACATGGAGGTTGACTTATGATGTGTTTATCAGTCACTGATTGCTACAGTACAATCAGCAAATTAATGGCTTTCATATATGTATGTTATGACCGACCATTTATGATTAAACAGATGTCATAAGAGAACTGCCAAGTGTGAGTGATGATGTCAACAAACATATTTTCTTGATTTCTCTGCCATCTTTGAGTTCCAGTCTGTCATATTTCTGCTTTGATCATAGACAGCTGATTACATAGTTCATCACCCTGTCAATAGGGACATGAATCTGTTGGAGTCTGGGTTATAGTTAGTTAATATGTACATCATAGTAACCAGTTACTTGAAGTCAGAGCAATAGAGATGAGAATGAATCCTTTGTTACAGATGATTAGTAAACGAAGTTCAGAGTTTGTTATGAAGATTACCGAAGTATACAATACTCGGTAAGCAAGAAGGAAGTGTCGGTAATAGCTAAGTCCAGTTGAGTGATTACCAAAATGTCGGTAATGAAGTATTGCTGACGATGAGCGATGTTAGAACATTGATCAGTTAGGATGAACCTTCTCTGATGAACCCGACTCTTGAAGTCAGTTGAAGTTACTTAGACCTTACTAGTAGTGCGAGGACTGTACTAAGTAAGGTCTCACAGTCACAGGTCTTAGAGCGCGTTGGTAAGAACTCAGTGAAAGTGTTTGAGTGGCTAGTGTGGCTAACTTAGCACTCAGGGTGAAGCAAGTCTTTGTGTGGCACACAAGGTGAATTTCAGTAAAGAGTAGAGATGTATTACTGCAGTCTTTTGTCTCATCTTATATACATTTCCGAGCCCTCAAACCTGTACACTACAAGCAGTCCAAGGCTATCCTATGTACCTTACTTGAGACGTGTCTGAACCCACAGCACAAGTCCTCACCGTGCCAAGTCCGAAGTATCAGTGCAGCCTTTCCTCGGTGATCCTTTGGTGTTCCCAATACCGACGGTCAATGGTCTTCAGAGACTCGGTCTATCCATCCGTCGGTATTGAAGTCCTAATTGGGGTTTCAGCAATTCCCGTGAAAGACCAGACATTACCAAAAAGCATCTTGGAGCAATTGTCAAGTCTTTCATTGTGCTTACATAATGAAGGACCCTACAATGGCAGAGTCTAACAATAGAAGTGTTTCCTTGGCATATATAGCAGGCTTTGGATTGTCAATACATCCATACTTGCTGGGGAGAGGGCCATTACTGGCAGTACGATCCCTTCGGTGTCAGTTCACATTGTTTTCTGCTGTAGTTCACCGGGTAGGGACACTAACAAGCTATCACAGTGTTTGCTGGGGGTTGCTGTATTGATGATAGTAGATACTGTCAGTATTGATTAACACAGTATGACAGAATGAGTTGCTTCACAGTATATTGTGTGAGATTGGGGTATGTTGTATTAGCACCCACTGTTTGGGCCACTCTTCCATTGGAAAGTTGCTTATTGAGTGTCTTGTTGAGCTTGCTGACTGCTGGTATATCACCACTGATTCATCGGATGACATTCTTGCACCTATTGTAATCTATGCGTACTCGGGGAATTCAATTGGTGCTACATTGGGAATGGGGACTTCATCTTCGTAGTATGACCGCTGCCCATTTCCTGCGATTATTTCCAGCTGCACCAGTCGGCATGCACGCAACACATTAAACTGTACGCTGCACAAGAGGCGGCGTCCGTCACAGTTGACGTAACGGCATGAGAATTCTACCCCTCCAGCATAGGTGACTATGTGTTTGTAGTAGGTAGAACTGTTGTGGCAATCATATTATGTGAATTAGTTGGAATGATTAATGATATCTAAACTCACTAGGTGCGTAACCAAGCCACATTGGGTTCAGTGGCAGTGGCAAGGCGCTGGGCATCGAGAGCGGCTTGAGAGCGCAGAGTGTGAATGCCCAAGGGATGGGCAAAACCTGCTTCCACTCGGTGTACCCGTTCAACTATGACGTCCGGATACTGCTCAGTGCCAATAGAGGGATCCATACTCAAATAGTAAGGCTGAACTGATGATGAGCGGGTTGTGGTTTGGAGTGAGAGAAAATTTACTGAACGTGTGGCCTTACTTCCCCAGCGTCTAATTTTGAACTCCTATTTTTAGGCTTTAATTTATCTGTAGCGGTGCAAGCACGGATCCCCAACTCCTCTTGGGAAATTCAGACTGCATAAGGTTCTAACAATAAGTACTTAGTACTAGGAAATAGTCTATTAGAAAAATATCACTATGCACCTCATAAATTATTGTGGTACTGAGCCGGCATCACTGTCATTCAATATTGTCAATGCCTACTGTTGGAACATATGGCCAAGCGCGCGCCCAAATGCTGACGTGCCGACGTGTCGCGATACAGCACAATGTTACTGTACCCGCCGCTGCCCCTTAATGTACCTGCCCCATTGATGATACCTCGTATATAGGTCTGTGACTGCCTGTATTTACTCTTCGCGCGTTTGCCTCCCCGCCCTGAGGACGAGACAAACCGCTTCAATTCTATTGTGTTCCCACCGATCTTCTCACTTGTTCTCATGTGATGCGCCCTCACTTCAACACCTACTTACTAGTGAGACTCACTCGGAGGCCCCTGGAGGCCCTCGCACCCATGGCGTCTTTGCCGCCCGGGCATCTTGGGGCCTCTAAGGCAGCATCTGTTGAAGTAATCGGTGGCGGGGCGTGGGAATGAGCGGGCGGAACGAGTAAGCAGCGGGAATCAATAGGTACTGGAGCGGTTTGTCTTGTCCTCGGGGCGAGGAGGCAAACACGCAAGGGTAAATGTTGGAGTCTGGGTTAGGATTAGCATAATACTTACTTCAATGTAACCAGTTACTTGAAGTCGAGCAATAGAGTAGAGGATGTCTCCTTTGTTACAGAGGAATAGTAACGAAGTTGTATGGTTAAATGAATAGATTACCGAGGTATTCAATACTCAGTAACTCAGAAGGAAGCGTCGGTAATGCTTAAGTCCAGTAGAGCAGTTACCGAAGTGTCGGTAATAAATGATTACCGAGAAGCGATGTTAGAACGTTGATCAGTATGATGAACCTTCTCCGATGAACCCGACTCTTGTAGTCAGTTGAAGTTACTTAGACCTTACTAGTAGCGCGAGGACTGTACTAAGTAAGGTCTCACAATCACAGGTCTTAGAGCGCGTCGGTAAGAACTCAGTGAGAGTGGTCGAGTGGCTAGTATGGCTAACTTAGCACTCGGGGCGAAGCAAGTCTTTGTGTGGCACACAAGGTGAATTTCGGTAAAGAGTGTAGATTGATTGCCGCAGTCTTTCGTCTCGTCTTATATACATTTCCGAGTCCTCAATCCTGTGTACTATAAGCGGTTCAAGGCTATCCTACGTACTGTACTTGAGACGTGTCAGAATCCACAGCCTAAGTCCTCACCGAGCTAAGTCCGAAGTGTCAACCCTGCCTTCCTCGGTGATCCTTCGGCGATTCCTCTATTGGTAGTTAATAGACTTCGGAGACTCGATCCCTCCTGCCCTCGGTATTGAAGTCCTAAAGCGCACTTCGGCAAACTCCGTAGATTACCGGTTATTGCCGAGGCGCGTCCTCAACCAATAGTCTAGGAGTCCATTGTGCTTATCTAATGGACCCTTCCGACAATAGCGGAGATTCTAACAATAGCTTGTGAGTTGAGGCATATAAGGCGGACTTGGGATTTTGGAGATATTCCCATAACAGTAAATACACAAGGATTGCGAGTAATATACGAGTCCGTAATTGATGGGGAAGGTACATTAAGGGGAATGGCAGGTACAGTAGCATTGCACCGTGATGTGGCGCGTTGGTGCATTGGTATTCAGGCATGCATTCGGCCATATGTTCCAACAGCATCCACTTTGACCTGAACTGTCTTAGTCTATGTTACACCACACCCAATCCTTTGTTGAAAAGAAACTGGAGATGCAACTTCATAACACACTTTTATACATACTTGCAGAGACATTGCATTGAGATCCAGCCAACGGAGCCGGGATGGAGTGGAACTACCTGCTATATGTGGAAAGCACGTGTGCTTGGTGCTGGGACTACACCTCGTTATGGTAAGAGTTGCTCCTGTTATGGAAAGTTCTCCCACGTGTATGGCGGCATGCTACGGCTTGTCAATGTTTCATCTTGAGAAAGCCCTCCTCCCTTTGGGAGGAGTCGGGGATCCATATATGGTGCTTGTCCCCTTCTGTACATTGATAAGTACTCATTCCTCATTCATATTCTTCATGCATGTTGGGTTGATAGTTGTTCTGGCTGACAAATATAGGTTGTGTGCATGATGTTACAATAATATTGGGGCGAGGGAATGTAATATTTGCGACGAAAGGGGGGGGGGGTACGATAGCATAGGACAGCAAACATCCTATGATTCTGACGACTGGGATATGCTCAATACATTCCCGAACGCTCCTCCACCCGCAAGCACGCTTCGTGTGTGGCCAGCATCATGTCCACACCCTGCTCCCACAAGTCGTTGTCCCATCCAAGGAGACTTGAATCCTTGGGATAGTCATATGGCCGATAGTAGAAATAATCGGTCCACACTTGACCGAAGTAGTCCGCGTACGCGGACATGTACTTGTACGCACCATTTGGGAGGCAGACCACCCAGGTCTTGCACAGACCGCTGCTTGAACGTGTCAGCAGCTAAGGGTGCTATGGGTAATAGATCTTTACTAGGTCTTGCAGATATGTGCAGTGTTTGCGACTCTGCCATCAACCTTCTTCCACTTTTGATGCACGCTCAGAGCCCAATTGAGGGCAACTTGTGGTCCCTGTGGCATCAGGGAGATCGAGCAAGAGCGGGTGCCGTCGTCGCAAGGTAGAGGAATTGCCGGCCTGACCGAGTCAAAGGCTGGGAGGGACAGGCGGCGGCTGCGGACTGGGCACCACTGCATTGTGGACGTCAAAGTTAGGGATGTTCAGATAGCAGTGGCGGGGGTTTTTAAATAGTGATGTGCTTCTTTTACATGCGCTGAATGCTTCCGTTGGAACACGTGTATCAATTCTGATCATTCTGGCAGTCAGCGTCTATTGGTACAGTCCAGAACGAGCCATTGTCCAACTGCCAGTTGTACCCCCCTCTGCTGGTACCATAACTGAAACACTGTTCATACTGGAACTCTGACCTTCCCCACAGAGTGACCACCACCAATTGCCAGGTGACCATGGTCGCCATGAGATTGAGTTGGATGCTTGCGCGCATCTCGCGGTTGGCACATTGGTCGTAGTGCGCCCATGTGAACTCCACTCCATCGGGCAGGACGTGGATCCATTCTTTGTAGAATGTCCTAGATTGTGCTAAGTCATTTTGGGAGCCAGCTGAGAAATCACCTAGGCCTACATGGTCTGGTGAAATGGATTGTCGGCTTGTCCATAGTCCTCAACATAGGTGATTGCATCATGCTGACAATTTGTCCAGATCTCTAGCCCAACCATCCCGATCGGCATCTCCCGGGACACGACTCCCTCAAATGGTTCGATGATGTGGATGACCAGTTGCATAGTCGTGGTCAGCTTGGGTGCTAGGAGAATATAGGGCATGGTGCGTGGTATAAGAGGCGGGATAGGTAGGGCTGAGTTGTGGCACAGAGTAAGGTCGTGAGGGACAGGTCGTGGTTGGGGCATGTGTGAGTATAAATTTACAGTGATAGGCCCTGCATCTGTCTGCAGAGCCGCTAACACATGCTGGGATGACACCTAGGGCCTTAGCTTCACGAAGCTTCGCAGGCTGTAAGTCTTAAGCGCTGTGTGAATTGAGGAACTTGAAGTCCGATAACAATGGAACGTGTTTGCAGTCTGGCTGGGTCGGCAGATTTGATCACCGATCCGTGTCTTGATATGCATTAATAGGTACTCCTTCCTCATTCATACTCTTCATCACTATTGCAATTGTAATATCCAAGGCCGGAGTCTAGGCTGTTTCCAAAATCACTACACTGGGACCCACAAGAAAGTGCAAGTGAATCTGAAGAATCAGATTCAAGATCCGAATCAAGCGGAATTGATGAATGGGTGTAAGATTCGCAGAAGTTTCCCTTCAATGCTAATCAAAATGCACTCACACGCTGTCACGCATGGCACATCACATATACCTGGGGATTCAGGTCAACACCCACCATCCCACCCCAATACCTCACACGCTACCACAATGAGCTCAGAATCGTCCACTGTGTCTTATGTTCCCACCCCGTACGTTCCTCCTGGCCACTGGCCTCACATCACTGGAATCTTCCATAACCACGACCACACAATCCTTAACCCTGACTTCTTCTCTGAGGTCCCTATCGAGTACCTTGTGCTTGCGCGGCTTGGGTATGAGACGTGCGACATGTGTCTGTATCCCCACACCTCAGTCCTCATTCTCGACATTGTGCACGTCAAATTTGCCTCATCAGTCCTCCGGCCATATGGATGGGTCGTCATGGACATCTATGGTCCAGTCCACCTCACGCGGCCGATACACTCTGCATGGCGTGATGTGCTGGCCTTCCAAGGCTGGTGTCTTGACCTCGCCTATCAGGTGGACACCAACAACCGTGCCAACTTCAACCCCTGTATCATATACCTTCCCCGCTCCTGCTTCATGGAGCTGGTTGTTCCACAACCTGCGCGTACCTGGATGTACGTCTGGGAATCAGTCATCAGTTGCTTCAAGTCCATGAGCTGGTACGTTCTTATCATTTCTCCACCCCTCATGGCAACAAGGACATTGCATTCTAAACATGGGGGTGGATGCCCAACTTGCAAAGATCATTGCTAATGGAAAACATGTACCAGCATTTGCAGTCATGATGAAGATACTGTCTTTGACTCAGAGGTTGAGATGGGCAGCATGGGGGAGAGTGGTGAGATGGGTATCTGAGGACCAAATTGCTTTATTTGTATAATTCATGGACTACATAATAGACAATGACTGCAGTTTGGATGATCTTATTTGAGGGAACAAATAAGTGAGTAATATACTTCAGTAATATGAACAATGCTACTGCACTTTTGAGAGATGTTCCATCATGTCCTGACATATAATGCTACTGTCATATTCCTATTTCCCAGTGTACGCAACACACCTGTTGCTGTTGCTTTTAATTGTCCCTCATTTGTACATTTTTTACCTGTCTCTCTTCCATCATTGAACCATATTTTGCCATCTGTTGAGATAATGCGGCAGGTGAAATGAAATCCTCCAAAATAAATTACTCCCACCAGACGGTAATCCACTTGGCCTTGTAAAGTGGGCAATGTGAGCTGCTTACTGAGTTTTGTATTGTCTGCTTGGTATACATTGAATGCAATGAAAATGGGTGCTCGCAGAACTGTACATTCATGGATCATAGTTGCATTGCAGACTCTGCATCTGTCAGGCAACCTATGTTTCAAGGCTGCCTTAATCCATTGGGCCATAGTCCGGGTCTCTGATGGACGGCCATGTGCTATTCTAGAATTCCATAGTGTTGCATCCAGTGCCCAGAGCTTGGTACAGGCTGTGATTTCATGTTCAACAACATGACATGATGAACAATGGTCAGATTCATGATAGGTTGGGGCTTGGCTTGCAATAACAACTTTGCAGAGTGCATACAGGTCAGATCCAGCTGGGGCTATAATTGGGAATGACCCTGGGTCCTGTGCATGTAGCATTATATGCATGCTGTCCCTCACAGAGTCCAATTCCAGCTCATTGTTTCTGACCTTTGCCAACAACTTTGTGAACCTGGTCAATATTGCATTTTGGCTCTTGATGTCTGGTTCCCATATCATATTTTGCTCCCTGTATATGTTGTGCAATATGCCAAATAGGGTATCAAATGCACAGCTGTATGTCTCATTATTCCAAGTGAAACATACAGGCTCCTCTTGACCAGCCATGTTCATACTGGATGTACATGTGCACTTGACTTCTCTTTGCAAGCTCTTATCCTTTGCAGTATGCTTCCTTTTAGTTCCTGAACCGCCATCATTGCTCACAGTAGCAAGCTGAGTAGTTCCCTTCGCAGGGACATACTTGGCTGTCTGGAGATCATGTTTTGTGAGATTGGTGGGATCTGTATTGGCACTTGACTCTGCAAGGCTGTCTGGGTCTCTTTGCAACTGGGGCTGTTTGTCCTTATTGGCTCGCTTCACCATTTCCCACTGAGACTCCTTATATGGTTTCTCAACATCAAATGGCTGCTTCTCTGACCATTTCAATGCACTATGCATGGTATTGGGCATATACTTGGCGCCTTTCATGGTGCGGTATGAATGAATGAGAGCCACACAGGTCACACCCTCAACACTTGGACTTAATGTCCCATCATACTTAAGCTTTGTTATCTCATCTAGCAGCTCAAGCTCTCTGAATTCCTGTCTTAGCCAGCCAGTTACACCACCCATGAACTTGGAGTTGTCAAAGCCCTGTACAATAATGGTCCCTTGGTATGTGGATCCACGGGAAAGGCAGGTGTACACTGACTGGTGGTTCTTGCAGTTCTGCAAATCAACCACATTATAGGGCCGTGTGCGTCCCTGAGAGCTGAAATCTGTCATGGCAAAATTGGGTATCAATGCTACCTGTGTCCTATGGATTGTTAATGTGCGGTCATTGGGCATCAGACAAGGTATCTTCATAGACTGGGCAGCAATGGGCACTACATTTTCTGGAAGGCCATCCAACTTCACAGGTGTTGGCGCAGCTGTGAGCTTTACAAATACAACCTCAAGCATTCTCTTATCACCAGTTAGTGGCTTAGATGCCCAGCCAACAACAATGGCTTCTGCACCATTTGTTACATTGCATTCTGTGGCTTCATTTGCCTTGATCATGACAGGTAGTCCTATACACAGTGACAACTTTCCTGGATGGTTATTAGTGTCCTTGTGTGGCAGAATCCAGAGCTGTTCTTGCAGATGAGGATGAATCTTGTCAACATTGTGCTTCACCTCTGCATTCTTCTTGGATTTATTGTGCCTAGTACCCTCGTCTGGACTGCCATAGTGATCAAGTGAATAGAATGTCTCCAGTGTCTGTCCTGTATCCTTGGCAAATCGTGTCACACCAAGCTCATTGATGCGGTCTCTGTGTGAGTTGTATGATAGAATCATGGACACATTCCGGAAGTTGGGATCATTCAGCTTGGGCTTGCCTTTTCCACGGCCAGCTATACGGCCCCGCAGAAAATTGACATCAGTCATGGTACATGCCTTGTAGCACAGATTCTAGAAGTTTCCTGAATTTGGCATCCTCTGAGGTCTGTGATTTTTGTCGCATGTTCTGTTGGAGTATGACCACTGTTGTTACTTGATGCCATATGGTTTGCCTAGAGATGCCTCTTGCTGCCTCCAACTAGATGCAGAGTGCCTGAGACTGCTGACCTTGGCTGAGAACAATGAGAATCCTGAACCTGGTGGCTCAAGCTGGGCAAAATCACCAGCAAAGATCATGTTGCCTCCAAAGGGCTCTCCATCATTATGGAAAATGTGGCACAGACAAGCTGAGATATCATATAAATGATTGCAGTCCACCATGGATATCTCATCTATGAACATGTAGTCCACATTCTTCAGCCTGTCACGCACATTGCGCAGAGTACCTGAGTTTGCATCCCCATACTTTGAGAAACCTAACATGGAGTGATAGGTTGATCCTGATATAAGTGAGGCAGCAGAACCTGTTGGTACCATGCATATAAATCTGTATCCCTCATTACGGGAATGGAAGAATGTAATCAATGCCTTGATGACTTGGGAGTTGCCTGTTCCAGCCATGCCACCCAAGTACATCTTCAATGTTTCTCCCTGTGGCTGGGTGGCATGATTAGCAACAATGCGGAATGCCCGTTCTTGCTCGGTATTAAGCTGGAAGTTGTTTACTGTATGATCAATGATGTCCTGATTTTTCTTGTCTGAAGCTTTAAATTTGGCTGACATGTAGTCATAGTCCACTGCTTTGACAGAGTCCACATAGTCAGGCGCTGTAGGATGTGAGTTATTATTAATCACTGGAGGTTTAGAGGCTGCCTGTTCCTCCCTTGCCCGTAGAATATGCTCTCTCCTCTCTGTTAGAATTCCTCTCCATTCAGAGCCAGTCATGGTTCTCAGTGGTGTGAATTGCTCAATATCAGCCATTTTCAATGTATGGTTGTCATCCAGCCAACCACTTGTATGGGCAATGTGTTCAACTTGCTGCATCTGAGTGATTCTCCCTAATGCTCTTTTTCCTAGAACATCCCAGTCTGGGTCATAGTCTATGGCACCATCATCTCCAGTAAGGCTATTCTGCACAATGTCTGCATAGTCATCAGCATCTGCATCTGTATCAGGCTGATCTTGTTCATCATCATCATATCCAAAGCTGTTGCCCTCAGTCTCCCTCTGCTGAGAGAAATCATCTCTGGAGTCATTACATTCATACCGTATATGGAAGAAATTCATGATATCCATCTGACGGGAAGTGAACTGGTGTGCAGCAAATGCGTCATCCCAAGATTGCCCAGATTGCTTCAGGTCTGTACCTATCCTCCATGGCTTGAACAACATAAGCATAACAAGACAATACTCTTCCCTGTTTCCTTTGTCTTTCCTTGGAAGACTGCAACCTACAAAGTTAGGGACCCTTGCACAATGCTCAGGCTGCATGACTGCCATGTGTGTCTCATACTGCGGATGGGTTGGAAGAAATCGACTAGGCTCATGGAACTGTTCAGCAGCATACTTCTTTTCATCCTCTTCTGCCTGAAGTGCAGTATCCTTGGTAAGCAACATTTCATCGTCACTATCAGTCTCATATTGTGTGGTGGATCCACCACCACGCCGTCTGGGCAAAGGCTTGATGTCCCGGACTCGTTCAGCTTTCACATTTTGTGTCAACTGGGTGACCTTTTCATTGACAGCTCTGAGCTTTTGTGTTATTTGCTTTTTTGACCCATGGTCTGTTTTTCAGCCAGTCAGATCCAGTCATATAGGCTAACATGGTCATTTTGTAGGCCTGTGGATGTAATCCATCTGCTGGGACATGCCAACAAAACTGTCCTTGCTCTTTCCAATGACCACCTTGGCAGGGTTCTGGTCAGGATTATACAATATGTCTTCCTCAGTCCGTGCTTTCATCACTTCATACTTGTAGCTGCGCCAGTAAAACAGTTTGAATATGTGGCTAGTATAATGATCAGGATGGTTGAGTAAATACATACTGGTGAGCTCGAATTTATTCCGCATTTCTGCGGATTATTCTGAGCTCCATTGCCCTGTCCAAGTCAGAATATGCGTCCTGGTGTGTCCTCCTTTATTTTACATGGACGCCATTACTGTACCGTGCATACCATATTTATTCGACCTCTTTCCCTTCAGTCTACCGTTTTCTATAATGTTTGACACTTCTGGGATTTGAACCATTGCACTCACTCGCTTTTCACTTGTTTGTTGATTTCGACTTTGTGGCTGTTCTACTATACAGATGTGGCTGTATTACGTAACACAAGCCGTGAACAGTCCGCCTCGTCGAGCTCCAAGTCCTTAAGACTTTACAGAGCTCGACTTACGTGTGTATCTTCACTTTCTTGAATATAGAGACTTTACAGAGCTCGACTTAGGCCTTTGGAATCGCTCTGAGGCGCACTGCAGCCAACACTGTCTGAATAGCATGTGGTACAGCCAGCACAATCTGCTTCATGCTTGACAGATGGTGGTGGTAGTGGCAGAGTCAATGTAGGATCCTGATAGTCCTTGGATTCTTGTGAAGTTTTGATATCCTCTCAAGATTTTCAACCATTTTTTGTTGAAAATCAGAGTTGGGATCCATGATACGGTCTCTGATTTCTTGTGGTGTGAGTGAATTCACAATCCATAACATGAGATGAAGATGAAGTGTCATGCGTCCTTGCTGTTCCACAGTGCCATAGTATGCTGCAGTTTCACCATATAGCCCAGGATGAGCAGCTTCCACTCCTAAGACATGCTTGATGAATAGCTCCACTACAACATGGAAGAAGTGTGCACCAGCAACTGGGTTTGAAGCAATTAACCTTGTACGGGTGTCACTATCCAGTACTAGTTCTGGCTTGTATGTCTCATTTGTGTCAGCAAAATACAGGCAAGCGGA